ACGAGTTGACGCTGGAGCTCGCGGACATCCTCAACATCCTGGACAAGACTGACGACGGTGAGGCCGGGACCTCCCCTTGGAGCCCCCAGGGATGCCGCATAGAGCCCTGCTGGGCAAAGAATGAGGGGGAGGTGGAGAAGGAGCTGCCACCGCTGGCTGATGGGCAGGTGGGGCCGGTGCCCCGCCTCGTCTCTCACTCCCTGAGATGGTCCGCTTGGACACCTGCCATCCTGGCTTCATTGGCCTTTCCTCGGCTGAGAGGAGGAATATTTTCAGTACCTCCCTGTCCTTCCCTAGAACTGGGAGGCCTCACCATTCCTCCTTCACAGTGGGCTCAGCCCAGTGGTGGCTCTGTGCCCCCTTCCCCTGGCCCTGGCCTCGGAACCCCCATCACAGGGGGAGGGAGGACAACCAGGAACATCCTAACCCTGACCTGACCCCGCCCCAGCCCTGTATTTGCAGCAAGCTTCCAGGTAAGCCTGTGACTCCCAGGCTCGGTACCCCATGTGGGCCAGGAGGCCGCCCTTGCTGGTGTCATCAGAACCAAGCGAAGTTCCTCCCAGCCCCATAGAACTGAACACGGTCCCCCTTTCCTTTTTCAAACCACATCCCTGTTTCTACAGTAATTGCTCCTGATCCAAATCCCCAGAGTGTACCACAGCATTTTCCTTCCCAGCTCCTCTCCTGCGGGGTCTAGTAGAAGGCCTCAGGCTGTGACCTCGGGGGGAGGCCTCCTCCAGGCAGTCCCTCTTGTGAGCCCCCAAAGCCCCAGGGGCTCTCCTGCCCTCTTCCCACAGAATATAACTAGCCTACTTCCCTCCCAAATGAGACCTGCAGAAGGCAAGCCCCAGGCCTCTTAGCCCCCAGGTTGGGACACACTACAGATCAGCCACAAGCTCTGAGCAAAGACCTGGAGGTCTCTAGAGAAGGGGAGAAGTGGAGAAACAGGGCAGGGAGAAAAGGGCATTGCCAGTTTGTGACGGGCCCTCTCCACTGACCACGCCGGCCGTCGGGAGGCCACGCCTGGGAGGATCTGCCCAACAAGAGGTGGATGACACAGTCCAGGTGGCCACCCGTGTGCTCAGCTGCCACCCCACCCCCCGGCCCCTTGAGCGCCTCCAGCTTTTTGGAGTGGCCCTTGGGGTCTCCTGGGCTCGTGTAGGGCAGCATAGAATTGCTGAGGGTCCCAGAGTGGGTTCCAAAGTCAACGTGGAACTGAGTGGGACAGAGCAGGCCTCGTTCTGTGCAGGTGCCCATGTACCTCCCAGCTTATGGGGGTGAATCCAGTCTGAGCATCTCGGCAGAGGTGTGCAGAGCCCCTGCCTTTTGGGAAAGGCCAGTTGGATCCCCTAGTGTCCCACACACAGATGGGGGCCGGGCGGGGAGAGAGCCTCTGTGCAGCCCCTGCCCTGCAGGAGCTCCTGACCCTCCCTCCCTCCCCTCCCTGTACAGGGTGGATCTTTGGCGAGCGTCTACACGATCAGGAGAGAGGCTGGTTCCCCAGCTCCATGACAGAAGAGATCTTGAATCCCAAGATCCGGTCCCAGAATCTCAAGGAATGCTTCCGTGTCCACAAGATGGATGACCCTCAGCGCAGTCAGAACAAGGACCGCAGGAAGCTGGGCAGCCGGAATCGGCAATGACCCCCGCTCAGGGGGCCGGCGGGAGCAGGGCCTGCAGGCCACCCCGACAGAAGGTGGGGAGCTCTGGGAAGCACAGGCCAGCGCCTCCCCAGGTGGCAGGATCTGGATTGGGGTGCCCAGCCTTCATCCCTGCTGACACAGTGAGTGCTCATGTGTCTTGGCCCCTTGCTCAAAAACTAAAGGGTGCCCACGCCTCTCCTGATGCATTTGTAAGAAAGAAGGTTTCAGCAGTATTACGCCACCACCCTCGTGCCTCCGAGGGGGTGGAAGGGAGTGGACACACTCCAGAGCCTCCCCAGCCCCTGGCCCCCAGGGACTGGAAGAGGCTCCCAACCCAGAGAGTTCCTGTGGGAGGCAGGCAGAAGGTGACGACATGATCTCCTGCACGTGTCCTCCTCTACCTTGGAAGCAGTTAGAATCCACCGGGCACAGGTGGCGCCGCCCTTGCCTGACGGAGCTTGATGAGCTGCCCTTGGTCTCCAGTTCACAGGACTGAGAGCCCAGCCGCCTCTGTCCACCCCTCCCCGGGCCTCTGCCAGCCTCTGGCTGCACGGTCAGGCCCTGCTCCACTGCAGGCCTGCCAGAGCTTGGCTGGGGACCCCTCCCACCTCTGGCTCCCTGATGGGCTGGATGTAACTTGTGTCTTCTGGTCCCTTAAGGAACCCAGGTGTTTTAAGGAATGAATTGGCCACTGCATCTTGTAACGATTATGGTTCTGAGAAAAGCAAATATCACTTTTGGCTGCATTAAAAGAAGCATCATATATAAAATAAAGGAGATGAAGGTCTACTCTTTATTGCCCTGGTACACAAAGGAAGGCGGTGTTTGGTTCCAGGCAGGGAGAGAGGAGCACCCCTTCAAGGCCGGTGGAGGAGGCTTGTCGGAAAGGACGGGCTTCAGGTTTCCAGAGCAGCGGGGAGCAGCTGGGGCCTCGCCTCAGCATGGGTGTGGATTTGGGCTACACTTGTAGACTCCAGAAACAGAAGGGGCTGTTTGGAGGAGCTGCGGATGCCCCTCTGCTGCAGTGGCAGTGAGGACACAGCTTTGGAAGGCCGCAGAAGCCCTGCAGTGTCCCTGGTGGGGGCCTACAGGTGATCTAAGCACAGGCGTGGGGCTGGGACTTCTGCACGGCCCAGACACAGGCCTTGGGACCCTCACACCTTCCAATACCCAGAGCTGCAGCCCCTCCCCTTGCCCCAGCTCCATCCCAGCGTGTTGAGGGGTCCTGCGTGTCCAGGACCACGCTCTCTGCCAGGACAGTTTCCCTGCTCGCCGGAACAGGCCTTTGATTTAGATCCAGTGGACTCTGTAGCGTCTTCCTACAGGCCACAGCAGGGTGCTTGGCGGTCCTGAGACCTCAGAGCCTCTGAGAATCAGGGAGGCACAGATGTGACACTGGTTCCACCAGCGAGGGAGGGCCCCCTGGTCCCGGTGACAGGCTCGTGATGCACCCCTTGGTGGGGGAGTGCTTGCAGAGTGGGGAAAGGGAAAGAGGGGGACATCTCTGATCCCTGGAGGGGAGGGTTGGGAAGGAGCGGGTGGCCATTGGTCCCCTGTGCTTTGTGACGTGATTGAGTTGGCTCATCTGCTGTAATGAAGGCTTTGGTTACTCAAAGTTATGTGAGATGAAATAAGTTAACTGATTAGGAAAATAGGTCTGTTTCATAGCACTCCTTTATAAGCAGAATCGTTTAGGGGTGTGTTTTGGGGAGACTAGTCGAGTCGGAAGCTGTTAACACAGACTCGGATGAGGCCTTGACCCCATGACCCAGTGTGTGAAAGGTGCGTGGGCACCACCTGGGCTCCTCGAGTGTCCAGGGGGAAAAGTCATGGCAGAAAATGGTGCGGCCGGGCACGGTGGCTCAAGCCTGTAATCCCAGCACTTTGGGAGGCCGAGGCGGGTGGATCACGAGGTCGGCAGATCGAGACCATCCTGGTCAACATGGTGAAACCCCGTCTCTACTAAAAATTACAAAAAATTAGCTGGGCATGGTGGCGTGTGCCTGTAATCCCAGCTACTCAGGAGGCTGAGGCAGGAGAATTGCCTGAACCCAGGGGGCGGAGGTTGCGGTGAGCCGAGATCGCGCCATTGCACTCCAGCCTGGGTAACAAGAGCGAAACTCCGTCTCAAAAAAAAAAAAAAAAGTGCCATGTGGAGCCCAGGCACACCCAAGAGGCCAAAATAGCTGCTGGAAAAATAGTTTTTAAAAAAGCAGGAGCAGCCTGCCCTCCAGCAGCATCCCACTCTGGAATCTCCAGATGCACTAAGCTGCCCCCAAGGGGTCTGCTGGCTTCCAAACTGTCGCGGCCTTCCATCCAAAGGCCCGGGGGACTGGGGTGGGGACCAAGTTCCCACTTGCCTGCTGCGCCGCAGGTTAAATGATCAAAGGATCAAAGTTTACATCTCTAAATGCTTTCCAGGTGGGGACCATGGGCCAGGCGGTTCCTCATTCACTCCTCCCCCCGGCTCTGAGGGTGAAGTGGGGTGAGTGGACATGGGAAAGCCGTTTTCTCTCCCTGAACAGACGAACCCTCGGCGTAGTGGCTGCCGGCTCCGCCCAGCCAGGCCTGGGGGTGAGCGTCGCAAGCAGGTGGGCAGCGCCCGGCGTCGGCCGTCGACTCATCCCGCTCCCGGGGCTCCCTGGGCAGAGGGGTTCCCGGGGGACCTGGGGCTGCGGGTCTGAGCCCGCAGATGGGGCCCTTGCTGTGGGACCCAGAGTCACAAGACGTCCCCCAAAATAACGCGGCCTCAGGCTGGGAGCGCCGACGCCCCCGACCTCCCCCAACCCGGCTTCAGGGAGCCGCGGGCCCCGGGGTCTCCGGTCGCCTTTCAGGCCCTTGCGCTTCCCTCCTCACGGAACGCTCTGGACCTCAGAGGAGCGGAATGGAGGCCAGGCCCTGGGGAGCGCGGGGAGCGCCAGGGCCCGAACCCGGGCCCAAGCAGAGGAGGCGTGGCCGAGAGAAGTGGCCGCCCGTGGCCCCGGCAGTGACGGTGCCCCTGACCCGGCTTAGAGCGCCGGCCGCACACCAGCTCGGGCGCCCTAGCGGCCGGGCGCACGCACACCGCGCGCTCACGCGGCACTCCAGCCGTGGTGCACGCGGATGCCGAGCGGCGCGGCCCTGCGCGCGCTCACGTGCACGCCAAGCGCATGCGTGCTCCGACTGGCCGTGCGCTCAGGCGCGCCCCTGCGGGGAGTGAGGGCGCGCCTCTGGCCCCGCGCCCGCTCACGACGCCCACCCTCGCCGCCCCGCGCGCGTGCACGACGCCCACCCTCACCACCACCCCCGCGCGCACCCCCCTCGACCTGCGCGCTCACGCTCTGGCACACCTGCACGCGCGGACACACGGGCGCGCCGGGAGAGCAGCCGATTCGCGCCGCGGCCGGGCGCGGCCCCTTTATTGGCTTCAGGAGGCGGAAAACTTTCTCAGCGCGACGACCACGAGCGCCAGCACCACGCAGGTGGCCAGCAGGGCGGCGATCACGATGGCCGCGATGGCGCCGGGCCCCAGCGACCCTGCAGAGGACAGAGGACCGTGTCACTCGCCGGCCCCCCCACCGCCGGCCCTCCTCCCCGCCGCCCCCGCCCCGCCCGTACCGCCGCCCTGGTCCAGCCGCTCCTGCGCGGTGCTGTCCTCGGGTCCTGGCGCGGCGGTGGGGGCTGGGGGACCGGTGTCCGCGGGCTCCCGGTCGGGGCTGGTGCTCTCCACAGGGCCTTCTCCCGACGGCAGCTCGGCTGGCTCGTTCCACAGCGTGGGCACGGGCTCCTGCGGACCCTCATCTGCAAGGCCAAGGAGAGGCGTTCGGGCCCCAGGTGACAGAGCCGACAGGATGTCACCCCCCATCTCTAGGTTAAGCAAGTTGCACGTGGCGCTGTGTGAGAGGTCTGGGCCCAGGCTACACTGGGTCTCTCATTTCCCGGGCAAGGCAGCTTCGAAATTGCCTTCCAAAACCAGGAGACCGCATGCCTGTCACCCCACAGTGGCTTCTGGGGCCAGGCTGCCCAGAAGAGGGAATAAGGGCCTCAGAAGGCCATGAGAACGCTGGGCTGGCAGCAGAGGCAGGGGACATGGGCCCAAGCCCTGAGATCCTGGGCAGGGGCTTGGCCTGTTCCATCTGAACTGCAGGGCTGTGTGGGCCTGGGTGAAGTGACACTTGTGAGGGTTCCCTCCCCACAGGGCAGACGACAGACACAGAGCAGCCTTCATCCTGGGAAGAGGCTGCTATCCATGGGAGCTCCACTGCTGCAAGGAGTGGGAGGAGAGGCCCACCGGGAACCCGAGGGGCACAGGCGCTCCGCTTCCCTGCGCGACCCTGCACCAGGTGTGGGGTCCGCAGGGCACAGGCCAGGCTGGGGCCTCTGTAGCCTAAGAAGCTGAAGCCAGTGTGTTGGTGCCTCCTGAAGAGCAGGGCTGGTGGGTGGGCAGGAGTGACTGCTCAGTGTAAGGGAGGTGCCCCCCGAAAGGCCTTCTCTGCTCATAGGGTTGGGAGTTAGCAGAATTTAGGGTACCCAGGGCCCAGAGAGCAGGAAGGAGACATTCCCAGGTCCCACAGAAAGCACAGGCTGAGATGCCTGCATGATAACCGGGCCCTGTGCCCTCACCAGCCAGCCCACCCCAGTTGTCCTCCCCTGCCCACCACCCCAGCCCTGGGCCATTCCCGGGCAAACAGACAGGAAGCCCCAGAAATGCTGGAAGCTCAAGACGCGGATGGTTGGCCGGCTCTTGGCCTCTCCAGCCCAGCCAGACCAGCTGACATCACAGTGTTAGCAGGAAAGGGCCTGCCCATGCCCTAATCTCTCAGGGTTTTGTGGGGGAGTTTTTTGTTTTGAGATGGGGTCTCACTCTGTGGCCCAGGCTGGAGTGTAGTGGCGCAATCTCGGTGCAATCTCAGCTCACTGTGACCTCCACCTCCAGGATTTAAATGATTCTCTTGCTTCAGCCTCTCAAGTAGCTGGGATTACAGGCACTTGCCACCATGCCTGGCTAATTTTGTATTTTTACTAGAGATGGGGTTTTGCCATGTTGGCCAGGCTGCTTTCAAACTCCTGACCTCAGGTGATCTGCCCTTGTTGGCTTCCCAAAGTGCTGGGATTACAGGTGTGAGCCACAGTGGCGGGCCTCCTGCCCTAATCTCAACTAGGATAGAAACTGTGATCCAGAGACACTCGACCCTCAAGCCGATCCCTAGGATGAGCTGGGGGGTGTCCCGACATCTCATCTTTCTTTTTTTTTTTTTTTAAGACGGGGTTTCACCATGTTGGTCAGGCTGTTCTTGAACTCCTGACCTCAGGTGATCCGCCCACCTTGGCCTCCAAAGTGCTTGGATTACAGGCATGAGCCACCACGCCCGGCCCCAACATCTCATCTCTTTGACTCCAGCTACTCTGGTGTGGGAACTGCTTTTATCTCCATTTCAGAGACGGGAAAACCAAGGCTTGGGGAAGTCAGGTGCCTCAGTGGTGAGCACTGGGGGTGAAGACTTGGCCAGTTGCAGGAGCGGTTGTGCTGCCCAGAAACCGTGCGGGAGGCTGCCATTGTGCGAACAGGTCATACAGGGCAGCCTGCGACCCTCGGGCACCTTTTGTCAACGGGTTCCATTGCTGAGCGCTGGGGCATGGGCACAGAGTCAAGCCAGACCCTTGCCCTCCTAGGCTCACCAGCACCCAGAGAGGGGGATGCTCAAGGAGACACAGGTCCTTCCAGGCTTTTCCGGCCAGCTGTGTCCATCTAGGGCAAACACGCAGAAACATCAGCCCACCCAGACTCAGCGTCAGTCAGAATAACTGGGCCTTCCCAAATGTCACAGTCAGGAAAATCAAAGAAATGCTGAAGGTTCCAGATCAGAGACGAGGGAGACAACTCAGTGCAAGGTGTGTTCCTGGACGGGAGGGACGGGCCTGTGATCGGAGACGCTGGGGTCTGTTGGTGAAGTTTGAACAGGGCGTGGCTGAGGACACCTTCACACTCATTTCCTGGCTTTCATAGCTGACTCTGGTAAGAGAATGTCCTTGTTCTTCGGATGAATTTAGGGGCAAAGGAGCGTAACTCAGCAATGTGGCAAAATGCCGGCAGTTGGCGAGACTAGCTGGATGGCCTCCTGGAGTTCATTGGATTATTTGTGCAACTTTTCTGTAAACCTAAAATCTTTCCACAATAAAATGTTAGCAGGACCTGGCTTCCTGCGCCTGTCTCAAGCCTGGAGAGGTCGGTTGCCAGCCTCGGCTCTGATACTCGGCTTGCTGACCTTTCAGCTGACCTGCCGCATTTCCCAGGTCTGGCCCAAGGCAGAACCCCTTTCCAGAAAAACCTCTGGCAGGAGGCCCCAGGGGTGGAAGGTCCATTGGCCCTCACCTGGGGGAGGCTTCCTTCCCGAGGGTCCAAGGGCCGTGGCACTGGTGTCTGTCAGCCTCCCGCCAACCTTGAAGCCCACCCTGAGAGGAGAGGGTAGTGACCCAGCCAGGCCTCCCATGTCGCAGCCTGAGAGGAGCATATGCAGCCTCGCAGCCTCCATGGAAGGCCCCAGGCCTCCCAGGTGTGCTTGCCTCAGGCTTCTGGGGGCTGGGCAGGAAAAAGGCCTGAGTGTGCCTACCGACTGGCAGGCGCCAGGATCTAGGCTTACTGTCTACCTGTCTCTCCAGATAAATGGACAAATGACATACCTGAGGCAGACCGACAGGCAGGCACCTCCCTGCACCTAGAGGCCGCTACAGGGCTGCTGGGTACCAGGCTCAGCTGACCCTGGTGGCATCTGTGGGAATCACCCCTGAGCTCAGGACGAGGAGTGGCAGGGCTCAGTCCCCGGCCAAGCCCAGCACCCTTGAGGGTGTCCTCTGAGCAGGGCTATGGGGAGCTCCACTCCAGCCCTGTCCCCATCTGTCTCCCATGACCCAGCCTCTGCTTCCCCCAGCACCAGACATACCTGCCCTGGCCTCCTCCCACTGTACACAGCCCCTCCTACCAGCCAGGCCGTGAAGCTTTCTAATCAGGAGGGCTGGGGCCTGTCCTTGCTCCATCCGGCTCTCACCCTGGGGCCCCAGCAGGTGGACTTCATGCCCCAACACCACCTTCCTGGCCTGTGAGGTGGCGGTTCAGACTATGCAGTCAAGCATCTTCCACAAGGAGGTAACTGTGAACATCAGCATCTTCAGCTGCTGCCCCTGGCCTGGGGCACTCTGGACACAGGCCCAGTTGCTATGTGTCTGCAGCCGCTGGCCGTCCTGTCACAGGAATCCCTCACAGCTGGCTCAGGACCTATCTGCACCCAAGCAGCCAGGGCCCCAGGGGCCACCAGCTTCCTGCCAACCTAGGCTGGTGACCAAGTGGCAGACACGTGTTCGTAATGACAGCCGGTACTCAGCCACCGAGCCACCAGGAAGAGGGGTGCCGCTGCTAGGGAGGGGCCGAGGCATTTCTTATCCTCATCTGTTTTTAGAATTTGCTCCAGTAAGAAGGGAAAGCACAGCTGGCAAGGGAGGCAATTCCCGGCCTCCCCCAAATCTATCCTTTTGGGAAGCCCAGAGCAGAGCAGTCGGTTTCCTCGCAGGAGTCCTGTCTGGGAAGGCAGAGATGGGGCGGGAGCGAAGGTGTGGAGGACGGAACTCATGGCATGCGGGGCGAGCAGTGAACAGGCCAGGGGGACAGAAGTGAGGGTGGCAAAGGGTGGGGCCATGGAGGACCCCGAGAAAGTTCCATCTGTCTGGGTGGTAATAAGGCCCAGACTCCGTTGATCAGAATTAGCTACGTGGTGTGACCAGGCGCTCTGACCCAGGGAAGCAAGGGCCTGGTGGCACTGCCACAGGCCTGGGCACCACGGGCTCTCTCCCAGCCTCACTGGCCCCAGCCGCCCTGCCTTTCAGTAAATAAGTTTGTTCTGACCACAGGGCCCTGAGGCTAGGCGCCGCCACTCACAGACACTCTTTGTGTGGGCCATGAAGGGCCTTTTCATCCCTGCCCTGGCCTCCCGCCCACTCAGCCCGGCCTGCTCCCACCTCAGTAGCTGAGCTGAGGCCACAGGCCCAGACAGGGAGGGCCTGTGCCTCAGATGGGGCCTGGGCCTTAGCCCATGAGGCTGCTCCTCCCCTTCCTGTCTGACCCAGGACCCCAGCCCACAGAGCAGGGGCCGGGGGTACACACCTGCTCAGAGCTCCCAGCCCAGGGTTGGGTACTGAGCTTCCCAAACGCCCTTCCCCTCAAAATGGCAAGAACAACAGCCAGAGCCCCAGAGACCCCAGCCCCTGCCCGGGGGCTGCCTGCTCCTGGTAGGACACATGGAGGGAAGTGGGGTGGTGAGGCCAGGTGAGGTCCTGGCTGTCCTCAAGGCATCCTATGGTGGCAGAGGAAGCCCACCAGCCCACAGTGATTAGAGACAGTCTGGCCCGGGAACTCTGGCCGGCAGCCTGGGCAGGGAGGGTCAGCCACACAGGAGCTGGAACCTGGGCTGGAGCACAGGCAGTGCCCCCAGGCCCAGGAGCCAGGGCCTCCCCCTCCACCCACATGGACCACCAGGCTGGAGAAGCAGCGTCATCCTGGTGAGCGGGGCCGCAAAGATCACAGCCCCAGGATTCAAGCCAGGGAAGACGCCACCTTCCCCTTTAGGTCCCCCCACTCCTGGGGACACCGCATGGCTCACTGGCGCCTCTCCCACCACAAAGGAGGCTGGCACCCTCCCAGCCTGCGGGAGGAGGTAGAGTTCTGCTGAGACCACCCTATGCCAGGGAGGGGCTCAGGCCTCGGAATCCGCATTCCCCTGACGTTCACTGAGCGCTACCTGGATGTGGGGCCCATACCCAAAGCTCTGCACATCTGAACTCACGAGGCCTCACAGCCCCTGCAAGTGAGGCAGAGGGTGGCAGTGTCACCATCCTACAGATGAAGGGAAGGTACAGAGAGGTTGAGAACACCCCGGCAGAGACTGAGCACACCCCAGCCTCCTGCTCCTTCCTGGGTGTGCAGGGAGAAGCCAATAGCCCCAGGGCTCCTCACTGTCACCCAGGTCTCCCAGGGGGTGGCCAAGGGGGTCTTCCCAGGCCTGTCGTCCCCCAGCAACTCTCTTCAGCCTGTGCTCTCATGACTGTGGTCCACTTGTCACAGGCCCATGGGCACCCTTCAGAAGGCCCAGGCTTCAGGCACCTGGACACCCATGACTGTGACACAGAGGCCAGCTGCTCTCTGGCCCAACTCCTGGCCAGCGGGAGCAAAGACCACCTGGGACCTGTCTGCGCCCTTTGTCTCTCAGGCTCTGAAGCCAGCCTGGGCCAGTTTCCCTGCCACCACCGCCACACAGGACCCCTGGGAGCCTGCTGGAGGCCTCCCTCTCATGGGACCCCAGACCTGGCCACTCTGATCTCAGTCCAGAGGTCCACGCTGTTTTGCAGAGGGATCTTGGACCTTGTGTTTTCTCTCTCTCTCTGGAACCTTTCACTAGATGGGGACAGTACATGGGTCTTCATTCTCTAAGGACATCACAGAAATCAGCAGGGAAGCTTTTGAAAAGTAATCAGCAAGGCTCTGCGTTCTTTGGGCCCCTCAGCCACTTGCCCTGTGCCTGGTGCCCCCGGCTGCCTCCCAGACCTGGGAGACTTCAGATTTTGAAGTGCTAGAGCAACTCCCATGTCCCCCCAACATTGAAACATCTCTGGGCCTGCCCCCAGGTCATCCTCCCTCTTCAAAGGCCGTTATCCCTGCTGCTAACAATTTCTGGAGACGTCCATCCCACACAGCGCTGCCAGCCGGTCTCACGAGAGCTCTTCGCAGAATTACCCCAAATGGCTGTCCCGTCTCCTGTGAGGGGGCTTCCTCCTCAGTGGACGTTGGAGAATCTGGCCCCAAAGTAGTTATCGGCCCTGGGAGGCTGGTGGTGGCAGAGATGGGGGCCTTCACTCCTTACCTGTGAGCACCGCAGGGGCCAGAACCCCAGAGACCAGCAGCAGCGCCATGCGCAGGGCCAGACAGGAGACCATCCTGGCCAGGAGTGAGCGCAGCGGCGGGCGGGACGCTCGGAAGCCTGGGCTGGCTAACTTCAGGGCAGTGAGAAAGGCATCAAAGGGCTGGGAAAGGTTTTCATCAATGCAAACTCTGTCCTCCTGGGACACCGTGCCCGCCCCCCGTGCGCGCACACACGCACACACACACACACAACACGCACACACACACACACACACATACACAGCAAGAGCTCACAGAACAGACATGCTTTCCTGAACCTGGGAGCAGCCCCACTCTTGGAAAGAGGAAATTGCTTGTGCTCTGTCTCTCCACCCGCAGCACACAGAGACCTCCCTCACTTACTCCTGGACCACTGAAAGTGGAAGGTTTTCAAACTTTCTTATGCAAAATAATCACCCAGGGAACTTGAAACTTGCAACTGCCTCTGGCCACTGTGTTTCAGTGGGGCTTGGGTAGGCCCGGGAATCTGCATGTTAGTGCCGTGGCCCGGGCTCCAGGAAATTTGGCCTGAAGCAGGCAGCACTGAACACAGGCTGGACCCCGCTCACCCCTGGGCTCTCCATGCCTGGCCAGGAGTAGGCACTCAGTGCTGGTTGAAGAAGCACTTTTATTTATTTTTTTATTCTTTTGAGATGGAGTTTCATTCTTGTTGCCCAGGCAGGAGTGCAATGGCGCAAACTCAGCTAACTACAACCTCCACTTCCCGGGTTCAAGTGATTCTCCTGCTTCAGCCTCCTGAGCAGCTGGGATTACAGGCAAGTGCTACCACGCCTGGCTAATTTTTTGTAGTTTTAGTAGAGACAGGGTTTCTCCATGTTGGTCAGGCTGGTCTTGAACTCCCGACCTCAGGTGACCCGCCTGCCTCAGCCTCTCAAAGTGCTGGGATTACAGGCGTGAGCCACCACACCTGGCTGAAGAAGCATGTTTAAAGCAGTTTTGATCCAAACCCTTGGGCGGCTCTAGTCTCCTAAAATGCTCCTGTCTCCTCCTCTGCTCTCTGCTCCCCTAGACCTCTGTACACTCACAACATCCATTGGGCCTGGCTCAGAACTTGGCCCCACAGCCCACTGTGCCTCAGCAGCTCCAAGGGGCATCTAATGAGTGACTCGGACTTACAGTGTCAAACGCAAATCTTGACTCCAGTGCCTCTTCCCTCACTCAGTCAATGGAACCCCAATCTCCCCTCCCAGACGTCCTAGCCACACACTGAAGTCATCAGAGGTCTCTCTTTCCCTCACTTCTGACGTCCGAGCCCTCAGAGTTCTGCCAGAGCTCCCCTTTCATACCATGACGGTTTCCCGCTGCGATATGGGCTTGCCTGGGACCTGCTCAGCTCCCTACCCCACGCTGTTTCAGTCCACTAGCCTTGAGGAGGCTCCCCCAACGAACACACCTGATCCTGCCTTAGGCCTTTTCGTGTTCCCCTCCCTCTCCCGACAGGCAGTCCCTGTGCCCATGACCTGGCCACCCCTTCCCTTCAAGCCTCAGCTTCACCTCAGCTTGCTAAGTCAGCCCCTTCCCCCATCACTTCACTTTTAATTTCTTCTTAGTGTGTGTATTTATATGAAATTACCTTGTACTTTTGGTTAATTTTTGGAGGAACAACACATTCTATAAAGCACACAAATCTTTTTTTGACATGGAGTTTCACTCCTGTTGCCCAGGCTGGAGTACACTGGTGTGATCTTGGCTCACTGCAACCTCTGCCTCCCAGGTTCAAGTGATTCTCCTGCCTTAGCCTCCTGAGTAGCTGGGATTACAGGCATGCGCCACCACACCTGGCTAATTTTGTATTTTTAGTAGAGACGGGGTTTCTCTATGTTGGCCAGGCTGGTCTTGAACTCCTGACCTCAGGTGATCCACCTGCCTCAGCCTCCCAAAGTGCTGGGATAACAGGTGTGAGCCACAGCATCCAGCTGACAAACCTTATGTTTACAGATTGATGAGCTTTTCTATACATACACACCCAAATCAATAGAGTGTTTGCAAACACCACCCAAATCAGTAGAGACCCTTCCCAGCACAGTAGCAGAGTTCCCTGTGCCCACCCCAGTCATACTCCCAAGGTGCTCTTCCATCTTCTACCTCCACAGCTTCATTGGTCTACTCCAAAAAATGGACTCATAGGAACTCGTGTCCAGCTATGTTCATACCACAGTGTCGGTGAGATTCATCCATGTTGTGTGTAGCCGTAGCTCATTCATTTTTCCTGCTGAATAGTATTCGATTACATGACTATGCCAATGTTTACCCATTCTCTTCTTCACTCCATCCATGTATTTATCCTTACCCATCTGAATTGTTTCTAGGTTTGGGCTTTTATGATTGCAGCTCTTGTGAATACTCGTGCGCATGTCTTTTTTGTGGAGGTAGGTGTTAATTTCCCTTGGTTGTATAACTGAAGATGGAATAGCTAGGTCAAGGGTAAGTACATGCTTAGATTCTCTAGATACTGCTAAGCAGTCTCCAAAGTGTGTGTTGCAGTCTCTGGTCTCATCAGCAGCTGGAGAGTTCCAGTGCTCCACATCTTCATTCATACTAGCGATTGCCAGTCTTTTTAGTCATTCTGATAGGTATGTAGTGTGTCTTATTAGTTTTAATTTGCATTTCTGTGACTAATAAAGTTGGGCATCTTTCCATATTTATTGGCCCCAGGAATATTCACTTTTGTGAAGGGTCTGCTCCATTTTTTTTTTTTTTGCCTATGTATTTTTTAGGGTGGTCTACATATTAAAATTTGTTTTTAGAGTTTTTGGTATATTCCAGATAAAAAATCCTTTGTCAGATATAGGTAATGGTGCCTTCAGATGAAGGGTTGGTTTTCTTGTCTGTCTCCACCCTGTGATTGTTCAAGGATAGTGGGGGCTTTCTGTGTTCACCAGTGCAGTCCCGGAATCCAGCACCATGCTGAGCCTCGCAGCAGGAGCTTCTGGGATACATTAACATTGAATATTTTCTCACTCATTTCTTTTTTTTTTAGACTAAGTCTCACTCCATCACCCAGGCTGGAGTGGAGAGACACGACCTCAGCTTACTGCAACCTCCGCCTCCTGAGTGTGCTAATCTACCTTGTGTTAGCCTGACAGACTCCATCTTGCTGAGAGCCGGACTCCATCGTATCCTCTGCCTCACCCCTCCCACCATTTATCCCTTGAGTGCATACCTGGGTCATGCTGTTGTGCTGGGTCATGCTGTGCTTAGAACTATAGAGGCATATAACCATTGTAACCATATCCTGCTTGGCAAGCCCACTTGCTATTGTGAATACTCTCCTTGACTGTATGACAAGTACCGAATACCCACCCTTAGTAATCAACAATCATGGGAACCTCCTGCCTCCTACTTACCAGCCTCCTTATCTAACTTGCTTGTTCTGCTTCTGTAAATCCCGCTTCAGCTGGACTCCTCCTCCTCTATCTTAAGCAAGGGATAAAAAAGAATCAGCCTTCTTCCTCCAGGCCGAGAGATTTTGAGCGTGAGCTGACTCTGAATTGGAACTCAGAGTGTGGCGCTTTCCTTCTGACTCGCTCGGTTATAACACCGAGTTCAAGGGATTCTCCTGCCTCCTGGGTAGCTGGCACCACAGGCATGCACCACCACACCCAGCTAATTTTTGTGTTTTTAGTAGAGGTGGGGTTTCACCATATTGGCCAGGCTGGTCTCAAACTCCTGACCTCAGGTGATCCACTTGGCTCAGCCTCCCAAAGTGTTGGGATTACAGGTGTGAGCCACTGTGCCTGGCCATCATTCTCTCATTTCTTATCTTGTTTGCTCTCACCCCCTGCCCCTCTTTCTGTGCTCTGCCACGTACTGTAGCAAGGCCACGCAGAATCAGATCCCCCATCACACTCCTGACACTCTCTTGCCAGCTGCCTGCCTGTTGGAGTCTGCCAGTGGAAGGCAGGGATGGAAGATGGAAGGTGGGAAGGGAGATGTGACTCTGCTTCAGATTTCTGATTTCTTGGGTGGTAGCAGCAGCACTGGCTAGAGCAACATCAGTGACAAAAAGGTGCTGGCGGCTGCAGGGACAGCAACAGAAGGCTAGAAGTGTAGGCTCCTGAATCCTCCTAAAGCAGCTGGACTGTGACACCAGGAGCCTTAGTGGACAGTGTTCTGGCCTCTGAGTGATTTCTGCTCCTCAGTCCAGGGTCTTATCGATTTCCTAGTTACAGTGACTCATTTTTTTTTTTTTTTGAGACTTTACTCTGTTGTCCAGGCTGGAGTGCAGTGGTATGTTCTCAGCTCACTGCAACCACCGTCCACCTCCCAGGTTCAAGTGATTCTCCTGCCTCAGCCTCCCTAGTAGCTGGGATTACAGGTGCCTGTCACCACATCCTGCTGATTTTATTTTTAGTACAGATAGGTTTCGCCATGTTGGCCAGCCTGGTCTTGAACTTCCAATCTCAAATGATCTGCTGGCCTTGGCCTCCTAAAGTGCTGGGATTACAGGCATGAGACAACTCGCCCAGCGTGTTGTCTTTTTTTTTTTTTTTTTGAGACAGAATCTTTCTTTGTTGCCCAGGCCGGAGCACAGGGCACAATTTTAGCTCATTGCAGCCTTAACTCCTGGGCTCAAGCAATCCTCCCACCTCAGCCACTTGAGTAGCTGAGACTGAATAATTTTTTTTTTTTTGTAGAGATGGGGTCTCACCGTTTTGTGATCCAGGCTGGCTTGAGTTCCTGTGCTCAAGTCATCCTCCTTGCCTTGGTCTGCCAAAGCACTGGGATTACAAGTGTGAGCCACTACGTCTGGCCTAAAGCGATTTTATTTATTTTTTTTTTTTTGAGACGGAGTCTCATTCTGTCACCAGACTGGAGTGCCATGGTGCAATCTCGGCTCACTGCAACCTTTGCCTCCTGGGTTCAAGCGATTCTCCTGCTTCAACATCCCGAGTAGCTGGGATTACAGGCACCCACCACCATGCCTGGCTAATTTTTTTTTTTTTTTTTTTTTTTGGAGACGGAGTTTTGCTCTCATTACCCAGGCTGGAGTGCAATGGTGCGATCTCGGCTCACTGCAACCTCCGCCTCCTGGGTTCAAACAATTCTCCCGCCTCAGCCTCCTGAGTAGCTGGGATTACAGGCACGCACCACCGTGCCCAGCTAATTTTTTATATTTTTAGTAGAGACAGGGTTTCACCATGTTGCCCAGGATGGTCTCGATCTCTTGATCTCGTGATCCACCCATCTGGGCCTCCCAAAGTGCTGGGATTACAGCTGTGAGCCACCGCACCCGGCAATTTTTGTATTTTTAGTAGAGACGGGGTTTCACCATCTTGGCCAGGCTGGTTTCAAACTCCTGACCTTGTGATCTACCTGCCCTGGCCTCCCAAAATGCTGGAATTAAAAGCATGAGCCACTGTGCCTGGCCTAAAGTGACTGATTTTTGAGTAAACTTACCTTCTCTCTTTTGCTCCTTCAGTCCTTTAAACATTGTTGTAACAAATTCCTGTGTTAAATCTCTTCTGTCTGAAAAACTTACAGTTGTCTCTGTTTCCTAGTCAGACTCTGATCAGTACAATATCATACTTGGTGCTTGTAATGGCCCCAGAAAACAGACCCTCAGAGATCTGTTTCTGGCTTGAGCTTGAATGCAGTGAAGACCTCACTGCCAGTGGAATATGAGATACCAGCAATATATGGCATGTCAATATATAAATATTTGTGGTCATTCAGTATGAAGGATCCACTGAAGACAAGATTTAAAGGATCAAGGATGCTGCACTTGACGTTTATGGTGGTGATTATGAGCAAAAGGATAGTGAAGTAAATTGGCTACATTTTTTTTTTTTTTGACAGTTTCACTCTGTTGCCCCAGCTGGGGTGCACTGCAACCTCCGCCTCCCAGGTTCAAGTGATTCTCCAGCCTCAGCCTCCCCAGTAGCTGGGATTACAGGTGCCCTCCACCATACCTGGCCATTTTTTTTTGTATTTTTAGTAGAGATGGGGTTTCACCACATTAGTCAGGCTGGTCTCAACTCCTAACTTGTGATCCACCCACCTTGGCCTCCGGAAGTGCTGGGATTACAAGCATGAGCCACCGCGCCTGGCTTAAACTGGCTACTTTTTACAGCATGCTCACAGAAAGAATGACAAGCTCAGGGCTTTAAATTCTAAGGTCAAGGCATGATCAGAGTACAAGAGCATTTCTAGGATAGTCTTTTAAAGATCTTATTTTTTTTTTTTTTTTTTTTTTTTGGTAACACAAGGTCTCACTCCCGTTGTGCAGGCTAGAATGCAGTGGCATGATCTCAGCTCACTGCAGCCTCAAACTCCTGGGCTCGTCACTCTCCCACCTCAGCCTCACAAGTAGCTGGAACTACAGGTGCACGCCACCATGCCTGGCTAGTTTTTGTATTTTTTGTACAGACAGGGTTTCACCATGTTGCCCAGGCTGGTCTCGAATGCCTGGGCTCAAGTGATCTGCCCAACTTGGTCTCCCAAAGTGCTGGGATTACAGCTGAGGCATCACATCCAGCCAAGATTTTTTTTTTGTAGCAAATAGCATAATTGGCAGCAAATCAGTCCCAAAATGTAATTATGCATGTTGCAGAACTACAATGTCACGGTGAATTCATAACCTTGCCAGTTCCCTTAGGTGAAACTTAAGGCACTGATTGGAAAGGAGATCTTGAGAGTTACAATAGAAATATGAGGATCTTCCACCCACAAATCTTCAGGCCTCCCCTGCAGAAGCAGCAGGTGATTCTCCCGTCTGAATAGCCTTTTCTTGTTTGAATAAGAATAATCACATCTGTTAAGTTCCCTTACAAGAAAATAGGGTTGCTTCAAGGGACAACCCCAGTTTAGGGTGTTGCCATGACCCCCACTAACAACTTCTCCTTGCCTCCATATCCAGAACTAGAATCAGGTACCAGCATTCCTAGGAGAGCAAGCAGGAAGTCTGACTTAGGAGGAAGTAGTACAAACTAAAACTACTGTTAATTTAGACCAGCAATAAATTAGTCACTAAGTATCAAGTAAGATACGAATTCTAACTTACATGAATAGAAACCCAGGGTGGGGATGAATTCCAAGCTGTCTGACTGAACAGGCAGGATGTATGACATTCGATCAGCCCACATTATAGACAGGAGCGTGCTTAGCGGAGCCTCACTGTACTGTCTCAGCCTAAGCATCCAGGAGCAGCCCTGTTGGATGGCTGACCAAAACCTAGGCTCAATACTAGCCTAGATGCAATGAAGTCAAGAAGCCTAACATAACGAAGAGGGGATACCAATGGCTCAGTAAGAAGGAGTGTGGGGGTGGGCTTATCTTCAGTGACTCACACATTCACCAAGCCCACTAAGTTCTCAGTAGGTCCCAAAGTACACTCTTCATGGAGGCACTAAGAGATGCGTGAGTTAAGACTGGCAACTGTAGAAAGAGAGGCGGTGACTGCTCTTTACCAGCCAGAGTTGGTGATGGGATCACCGATTTCAGAGGAAAGGTATGATTCCAAAGCAGCAGAGGCCAAGTGGCAGCACTGAACTGCCAGAGGCCAGGTGGATGCAAACCCTGCCATGGATGGCAAAGATAAAATGATCTAGCTGGGTGCAGTGGCTCACACCTGTAATCCCAGCACTTTGGAGGCCGAGGCGGGCGGATCACCTGAGGTCAGCAGTTCAAGACAAGCCTGACCAACATGGAGAAACCCCATCTCTACTAAAAATACAAAATTAGCCGGGCATGGTGGTACATGCCTGTAATCTCAGCTACTCGAGAGGCTGAGGCAGGAGAATTGCTTGAACCCGGGAGGTGGAGGTTGTGGTGAGCAGAGATTGCACCATTGTACTCCAGCCTGGGAAACAAGAACAAAAGCTTCGTCTCAAAAAAGAAAAAAAAAAAAAGTTAATCTGGTAAACTGTGGTGAAAAAAATACAGAATTTAACTTACTTTAAAACGTAGATTCTTGGTAAATACTGAAAATTTTCTCAAAACATATCAGTTATTCCAGGAAGTAGTTACTGAGTGCAGGTCCACAAAACATGTCAAGCAAACATACGGCTACCAAAAGAAGGGTGTGGTCCTTGGCCACAGTGGACACATCCTACAAAATGAATGCAACTGCTGGATGACAGAGAGAGACTCTGTTTCAAAAACAAAAACAAAAAGTCTTCCTTATAGAAGGCTGTAATCAATGTAAAAGGAATGCTTGGCAAGCACCTTGGTAAATGCTCCATTAGGAATCATCAATGGGGCCCGGCACGGTGGCTCAACCTGTAATCCCAGCACTTTGGGAGGTCGAGGCAGGTGGATCACAAGGTCAGGAGCTCGAGACCATACTGGCCAACATGATGAAATGCCATCTCTACTAAAAATACAAAAATTATCTGGGTGTGGTGATGCATACCTGTAGTCCCAGCTACTCAGGAGGCTGAGGCAAGAGAATCACTTGAACCTGGGAGGCGGAGGCTGCAGTGAGCCGAGATTGCCCCACAGTGTTCCAGCCTGGGTGACACAGCGAGACTCTGTCTCAAAAAAAAAAAAAAAAAAAAATCATCAGTGAACGTTAAATCTGCGTGGATAAAAGCTTGATGGCGAAATGCTGTCTCAACAGTGTCTCCCATAAAGACAAGCATCACTACTTTACAGTAGAGAAATCTGAAGCAAGTAAATATCACCAGCGTGGCTCAAACTGACTTCATGTCTCCTGGTGTGATGGACGGAGGACTAACATCACTTCTGTAGTATTCCTGTCAAAACTGCATAATCACAGTCAAATCATGAGAAAACATCAGGCAATCCAAACGCAGGGCATTCTAAAAAAACAACTGCCTTCCACTCTGGTTAAGGTGTGAAAGAGTAAGACAGAGGAACTTCCAGATTAGGGGAGACTCAAAAACATGACAACTAAATACAGAAAGTGATCATGGATGACATCCGGTGCCTTTTTCTTTTATTAAAAATATTAGTGGTGGCTGGCCGCAGTGGCTCATGCCTGTTATCCCAGCACTTTGGGAGGCCGAGGTGGGTGGATAACGAGGTCAGGAGTTCAAAATCAGCCTGGCCAACATAGTGAAACCCTGTCTCTACTAAAAATACAGAAACTTAGCTGGGTGTGGTGTTCCTATAGGACTACAGTAGCTCCTGTAGTCCCAGCTACTCAGGAGGCTGAGGCAGGAGAATCGCTTGAACCCGGGAGGCAGAGGTTGCAGTGAGCCGAGATTGCCCCATTGTACTTCCACCTGGGTGACAGTGCAAGACTCCATCTCAAAAAAAAAGCCAAGGTGTAAGGACTGCTTGAGGCCAGGAGTTCGAAACCAACCTGGGCAACACAGAGATACTCTGTCTCCACCAAAAAGTAATAATAATAATTAGTTGGGCGTGGTGCCATGTACCCATAGTCCCAGGGACTCAAGAGGCTGAGGTGAGAATGGCTAGGGCCCAAGAGTTCAAGGCTGCAATAAGCTATGGTCAGGCCACTGCACTCCAGCTTGGGTGACAAAGTGAGACCTTGTCTGAAAAAAAAAAAGTAATGGAACAACTGGTGGAATATCAATGAAACCTGGCTATTAACAGTACTCTACTGCCAAATTCTAATTCTGATAACCACTGCGGTATGTCGGAGCAGGTCCTCGTTTTGAGGAAACACACAGGTTCAGGTATAAGGGACATGATATATACAAATTAGTCACAAATGGTTCATTAAAAAAACCCAGTTGTTGTGACATTATAGTTATTGAGAGAAGATGACAAAGTAGGTATGATCCAACGTTAACAACTAGAGAACTCGGGTGAAGGTGACGTGCAAGACCTTTGTGTTGTTCTTGCAACTTAAAGTCAAATCATTTCAAAATAAAAGTCACCCTCCCCACCAAAAAATCATCATTTTTCAACTAATTACGTATCTAGGCAATTGTCATCAAGGAATGTTTAAACTGCTACATGTAAGAGCAACAGGACTTTTATAATGGTGAATCCACCTGATAGCAACGAAATTGATGACTTCTGACATTTAACAATAAAACTAGAACAACCAGACAACAGTGTGACTGCGATACAGAGGGAAGGGCACCACATCACCAACAAAGGATTCTTGTGAGGGGTGGGGAAGGAGAACCTGGTTTTTAGTCAAGCCTCCAGATCTGATTAATTCACAGAAAACATGGCGAGGCGGTGCGGGGGTGGGGGGGGAGAATGAAGAAATTGCCACCATGAAGATACTTCTTGCTAAATCCAGAGAATATGAAATGTTCAATGAATAAATGATCCAGTTTTTCAACTTCTTTTTTTTTTTTTTTTGGTAGGGAGAACTGTTAAGACTAAAGGAGGCTTAAAGCATATCAACCAAATGCAATGAACAATTTTGATTTTGATTCAAACTTTGTGAAGACACCTTTGAGACAATCTGAGAAAATCATCTATGGACCTGAGAAGGCATTGTGGGTGGTTCATTTTCTAAGATGTCCTCTGTTATCATATTTATTAAAATATTTATGAGTGACATGATAGCTAGGATTTGGTTTAAAATATTTTAAGGGAACAAAGTGGAATAAATACAACAAAATGGGCAAAATATCAATAATTCCTGAAGCCAGGTTATATTAGGTAGGAGTTTGTTACAGGAGTCTACTGCTTTTTTTTTTTTTTTTGAGACAGAGTCTTGTTCTGTTGCCAGGTGCCAGGCTGGAGTGCAGTGGCACGATCTCAGCTCACTGCAACCTCCACCTCCTGGGTTCAGGCAATTCTCCTGCCTCAGCCTCCCAAGTAGCTGGGACTATAGGCGCACGCCACCACACCCAGCTAATTTTTGTATTTTTTTTAGTAGAGACAGGGTTTCACCACGTTGGCCAGGATGGACCTGGTGATCTGCCCACCTCGGCCTCCCAAGGTGCTGGGATTACACAGGAGTCTACTTCTATGTATGTTTGACTTTTTTTTTTTTGGCTTTCACATTTTTCATCAATCCCTAGAATATTTTCATTAAATAAAGAAAAAACTCGGCTGGGCGCACTGGCTCAAGCCTGTAATCCAAGCACTTTGGGAAGCTGAGGAGGGCAGATCACCTGAGGTCAGAAGTTCCAGACCAGCCTGGTCAACATGAAAAACCCCATCCGTACTAAAGATACAAAAAGTAGCCGGGCTTGGTGATGGGCACCTATAATCCCAGCTACTTGGGAGGCTGACACAGGAGAATCACTTGAACCCGGGAGGCAGAGGTTGCAGTGAGCTGAGATCACACCATTGCACTCTAGCCTGGGCAACAAGAGTGAAACTTTTGTCTCCAAAAAGAAAGAAAGAAAAGAAAAAAGAAAAACTGGTCTTGAGAAACAACTAATTAAATATGACCACAACCCAGTGACCTCAGGCCTGCTAAAGACTCAGATCCCTCACAAATGAAGGTTCAGGCCACCCAACAGATGAGGGGCTGGCAAAGGGTGAGTGGAACTTAGAAGGGGCAGTAAAGACTTTAAGCCAACACCCTCCACAGGGTTTCACCACGTTGGCCAGGATGGACCTGGTGATCTGCCCGCCTCGGCCTCCCAAGGTGCTGGGATTACACAGGAGTCTACTTCTATGTATGTTTGACTTTTTTTTTTTTTTGGCTTCCACCCTCAACACCCTCCACATATATATGTATATACACACACACAATGTTTGCAGATATGAACCAACTTTTCTCCTACTAATTTACATAAATACAATTTATAACTTAAGATGTCAAATAGTCAGGTTAGACTGAACTTGAAGCTACTATCACCTAAAAAATGGACATAACGACTGAACGACTGATGGATGGGATGAGTGGACACAGTGTTAGTGGCTTCCCTACGGTTACTAACCTTTCAGTAACTTTCCCCAATGTTGCTCCCAACACTTCGAACACCAATTCTTTGCCTTTTTATGTTTATCTAGGGTGGTTTCTGTTTCACGATAGAGCCCTGACCTGCTTAAGGCTCCATTCCATGTTACCGAAGTCAGAAAATCCAGGCAGGTGACTGTTCCCCTGTGCAATGCTAACCATGCTTGCCTTTCAACTTGGGTCTCCTTCAGTAAAATTGCAAAGGGTTACTTGTCACACACCATCAAGAAACCAAGTGTCAACAGTACTGCTGCACACATGCCTCACACTCACACACACACCAGGAAGCCGGAGCTGAAATCTGAGAGCTAAGCTAGGCTGGTGGGTCTCCTCCACTGAGGCTGTCCATTTAGAACTCTGGGGAATGTGAAAATAATTTCCAATGCATAGTCCCACCCTAGGTTAGAAACTCTGGGACATGGAGCTCAGGGATTGATTTTTGTTTCAAGTTCCTTAGGTGATCTGGGCCAACCCCCTCATCTAACAGACAAGGAAACTGAGGCCTAGAGACAGGTAAGAAAAGAGTGGTTAATGAGGCTGGTGCTAAAATGCAGCCTTCTGGAACCCATGCCACATTGCCTCTCTAAGGGTTACTTCTTTGCACTAATTGTAAGACATCTAAGAAGGTGTTTACTCTGATTTCATATGCTCTACTGCATCGACACGTGTGCCTATGTGTCCCTTCTCACTTGCAAAATGGCCTACGAGTGTTAAACATTTTTTTTTTTTTTTAATGGAGTCTCGCTCTGTTGCCCAGGCTGGAGTGCAATGGCGCAATCTCTGCTCACTGCAACCTCCGCCTCCTGGTCTGCCTCAGCCTCCTACGTAGCTAGGATTACAGGTGGTGTCACCACGCCCAGCTAATTTTTGTATTTTTTAGTAGAGACAGGGTTTCTCCTTATTGGCCAGGCTGAACTAGAACTCCTGACCTCAGGTGATCCACCTGCCTTGGCCTCCCAAAGTTCTGGGATTACAGGTGTGAGCCACCACTCCCAGCCTTGTCAAGCACTTCTGTGCTGGGAATGTTCTATGCTATACAATTTTCTTGATCACAATTCCCTGATAGTTGTCGTTTCACAGATGGGAGAAAAATATAGAGAGAAACTTGCCGCAAGTAATTGATCAACATGCAAATCTGACAGTTTTATTCCAGGGTTCCCATGCACAAAACCACTCCCAGGTTCACTCCATAGGGTGCTTAAAAAAAACAAATTTCAGGCCGGGTGCAGTGGCTCACGCCTGTAATCCCAACACTTTGGGAAGCCAAGGTGGGTGGATCACCTGAGGTCAGGAGTTTGAGACCAACCTGGCCAACATGGTGAAACCTTGTCTCTACAAAAAATACAAAAATTAGCTGGGCGCGGTGGTGGGCGCCTATAATTCCAACTACTCAGGAGGCTGAGGCAGGAGAACTGCTTGAACCCGGGAGGTGGAGGCTGCAGTGAGCCGAGATCGAGCTACTGCACTCCAGCCTGGATGACAGAGTGTAACTCTGTCTCAAAACAAAAACAAAAAAACAAAACAAAAAGGCAAAGCCCAGATTCTATGTAAAATTAGGAAATACAACACACAGCAAAGTTGAGTCATTGGCACCTGCTCTGGGTCCCCGGCTCTGCACAAGACCAGAAACCAGAGCTTACTGAGTCCCCCATTGGGAAAGACTAAGATTCTCAGACCACAGGCAAAACTGGCATACCCACGAGCACTTTTTCCCATGGCCGGTGTGCACAAACCATCCCACATGTTCCCACTTCAAAACAGAAGATTGCAAACAATGTGGCAGACGGCAACTGCCAACATAGTAACCGTTTCCCTAATTTCACAGTAACAGGATTCCAATGGCATTTGGGGATGAAAGCACTCAACTAAAATCCCAAAACTTCCACAACTAACTGTAGTTATGTTGGCTTGTAAGACTTAAGATGTTGGATAGGGCTTCCCAAAAATCTCCTTAAACAGGGCTGACCAAGCAGTAAGGTGTGCTGTTTGCCTCACCCCACTCCTTCCTCTTGCCTGGAATATGGGCATGATGGCTGGTGCTGTGTAAGAGTCACCTTGGACCATGAGTGACCCAGAAGAAGAAAGCCACAATCAGGATGTGAAACAAAGAATCTGGGTCCTTGGGCCACCCCACAAGCCTTGGACCAATGACCTATTTCACTTGAACATAAGCTATTTTATTGTCACTGTTGCTTTGCCATTTTTGTCAGATGCAACCAAACCCAATACCAACGCACCCACTGACCATTCCCAGGACCATTTCTCATGCTAAAGGAGGAATTCAAAGAAAAAGGCAATTTGCTGCCAAGGGAAACTGACCTTCTACTCCTACAACTGGGGAACAAGCAAACAGTCCTTAGGAAGTGATGTCTCCGCTTCTTATATCAGCTGGACTGAACCAAGTGTGGAGGTGATCATGAGTTCCAACCCCATGATGTCATCAGTTTACCAGCAATAAAAGGGGACGCAATGACAGCTTTTAGGTGGAAGATCAGCTCTTAGGTTAAGAGCCCACTTCTTCCTTCTCAGCATCCAGGTGCTGTTTCTCCCATGTGATGCCCCACTGCTATGGTTACTTTCGTTGCAAAACATTCACACTGGTGAATTCTTTAGAGGGAAACTGTCCTCCTGAAGGTTTTAGGTTCCCAGTCCAGAACCAGCACTACCAAAAGCTATACACGTCTATCATTCTCAGGCAACACCTGCAAGTAAGGATCACACATCTGGCTGCTTCAAGGCTCCCAGACTCTCCAGGGTCCTAGAAAGCACTGCTGCTTCCTCACCAGAGACTGAACTCACGCAGGACCAAAGTCACCCTTTGCAGCTGGGCTTTTGTTGTTCTGAGGAACTCACCAACTATAAGGCCAACTTCCATTTGGAATGTGCTCTGGTTGTACTTTACTCTCTTAAGAATGTGCTTGCCTGCTACTCTGTTGGAAACGCTCTGTGTTACATTGGAAGGACAGTATAGAAATATGTTCATTTCAAAGAATCACTTCTGTTTAATTAAAGTCATTCACATACTTTTATTAAAGCACAGTTGGGCATTTTATACAAAATTACCAGTTTTGTTATCAGGTCAGTTTTAAAGTAGGGTGCAATATATATACACGTATATAACATATATGTATATATTATATATTGAAAATGTAAAACATATACTTTTATATACATATATGTGTATATATAAAAATATATGCATGTATAAATACAATACTTTCCCTAAAAAATTATTTAATTAAGCCAGAAGTACCATTATCTATCCTAACATTTAAAAAACAGAAACAAGCTGGGTGTACTGGTACATACCTGCAGTCCCAGCTACTCGGGAGGCTGAGGCAACAGGATCACCTGAGCCCAGGTGTTTGAGACCAGCCTGGGCAACGTAGTAAGAACCCATCTCCAAAACAGAAACAAAAACAAAAACCCTCGACTTAAAGTCAATGAAAAAAAAAGTCCTTCATGTATATGCATAAACTCATTTTATGCAGATATTTCCCAAAAATGGCTGTAATATCTCCCATCCCCCATGCTATTCTCCAAGGTGACCTTGCCACTCCTTTTATCAAGGGGCTGCGGGGAGAGGCCCATGCTCCTTCCCTTTGAATCTGAGTGGGCTTGTGACTACTTTGATGGAATACAGTGTCACTAAGTGACTGTGACTCCTGAGCTAAGAGCTCAAAAAAGGTAACACAGTTTCTGCCTGGTTCTCTGGGGGAAGCCAATTACCACTTAAGAAGTTCAGCTCCTCTGAAGCTGCCATTCTCGAGAGGACACACAGCCCCTCCAGCCATCAACCCAGATGAGTTCCCAAGCCTACAGCCAATGCCAACCGTCATTGCGCAAGCGAGCCATCTTGGACCGCTCACCTGATTCATTAAGCCTTCACAGGAATGCAGCCCTAGAAGACATGTGACCAAAATCAAAGAAGACCCCAGGCAAAGAACTACCCGGCTGAGCCCTCCCCAAATCCCTGAGCCACAGAACGAGGCAGCGGTTGGAAGCCACCTGGAGGGGATTTGTTATGTACAGCAGCCACCAGCACACCAGTCTGCCTGGGGAAAGTCTCCATCATCAAACTGTCTTGTCCCGGATGTTCTAAAATTTCTGGATTTAAACCAACCAACCAACAAAACTAGAGCTGGGCGTGGTGGCAGACACTTGTAGTCGCAGCTACTCAGGAGGCTGAGGTGGGAGGATCACTTGAGCCCAGGGGTTTGAGACCAGCATGGGCAACATCCCAAGACCCCATCTCCAAAAAAGCCAACCAAACAAAACACTGGAAGCAAACGGCGTCCAAAACAAATACTCCAAAACTCAGGAAGTCAGGAGAATTTGGAAATAAGTTCCTAGAACGGGATGAGAAAATGGAGGCTTTAAGTGAAAGGGTGAGCAAATAAAAATATGAAAGAGAGTAGAATTGAGAGAGACAGAAACAAACATTCCCAGGGAAGAGTCTCCTTGGTTAAGCAAATGGATGTTCCATGACCAAAATGACTTTGTTCCCCCTCATCTGCCCACTCCACTCCCAATTTTTTCAGATTTATTTTCATTTTTCCTGAATACACACACGGAGTCTAGTTGAGAAGGTGGGGGCAGGCTCTGAAGGGGTGCGTGCAGAGGGGGTGTGTCTGTGGCATGAGGGCAGGTACTGACCCACATGTTAGCAGAAACGGAGAGTCAAAAGAGAAAAGATACTCGGTCAACTTACCTACATCTGCCTTGACCTCAACATTCTCAAATACAGAACCAGCCAGTGCTGTGTGGTCTGGTAGAGAAAGAAGCCATGACTGCCTCCATGTCTCGGGTGCTTGGAGCTTCTCCATGGTGCCAAGAGCAACAGTTCAGTGCAGAACTCAGTCTCCATAAAGGTGAGTACAAGAGGTGCACTCAGAATACAACCAGGTTTTATTTAAGTTCTTTTTTATTTTCCTCCACGCTGGCAAAAGTTCCGAGGGAGCCTAAACTTTTGTAAACATTTTAACTATCCCTCTTACCCACCCCCCACTTTTGAATTTACAAAGCAAAGGAGAGTAGGAGCCCTAATTTTTTAATGGTTTCCTCTCCCCTCATGCTATTTGATCCAAAAAGTATATACAATTTTGTAGCAGTCTCTGTATAGTTATTGTACATGTTTAGAAGGGAGGGAGGCAAGAAGGGATAGGGATAATGGTGATCCAAAATAATAAAAATAGAAGCCAAATATAATACTCCAAACCCAAACTGCTCTCAGAGCAACTCCAGCCTTCTTCAGGCAACAATGACAGGAAGCAAAGGTGCTTTTCCAGGGGCTGCCCAGACCACAGCACCTCTGGCACAGGCACAGCTGCCCAATGACTCCAACCCAGTGTGTGTGGCAATTCCAGGTGATATTTGGTAGGGGTTTGGTGGAGACAGGAAGAGTATTTGTTTATAAATAGGGCTTGAGCACATTTCTACTTGAAGTGAAAAGTATTAGGAGGCCATGACCAGAAGCCAGGTCAGGCTTCCTGCTCCCGTTTTCGCCCATCCCCTCCAGCCCACTGCATCCTCCTGTATGGTGGATTCCATGGATGAAGGTCTTAAAGATGGTCAGCTTTTGTATGTTCTCTTTTCAGAAAAGGCAAGCAACTTGCCATCCCAGAATCTTTAAACAAAACCTTTTCCAGGCTACAGCAAGACACACACGCAATGCTCTGAGGAACCAGATGAAATTCCAGGCTTTTATCGGAAGCAAAAGTTTATCCCTATCCAAAAATGAAATTATACAAATTCATACATATGGTAAAGATCCTAGCTGCCTCTTAAACGAGACAAATTTTCAGCAGAAGGGCCCAAAACAAACTGGTCCTAGTCCTCTGAAGTAAAAATATGTATGGGAAAAATCAGTTTTTGTAAGAAAGAAAAATTAAGAATCGTCTCTCTCCCAGGCCATAGGGCTTCCTTTGTCCAATCAGGTTGGAGTATGCCAGGGGAGATCAGCTTGCTCAGAAGTCACCATCTAATGAAGAAAAACATAAATTTTTTCAGAGAAAGGATGCTCAGAAAGAACAGTTGAGGAGTGTGTAACATCAAACCAATCCAACCTCATCATAACCCCACTCAGGGCCTCTCTGATGCAATCCCAAAGTTAGCAGTGGCAATGCAACTTTCAGACTGGGAGAGCTCTGACTGCCTGTTAGATACCCGAGTCACAGTCCGTGGGGTGTTTCGTTGCTGGCCATTGTCTATTAATCATTAACTCTCTTCATGATTGCACCAGTTAGACCTCTTGCCCTGATGGGGGAAAAAGAAGAAGAAAAAACAAAATAGAAGAAAAAAGTGACAAGAGAAAGCAAGCTGCTAATGGCTGATCCCAACACACTTTCTGGGAGACAGTAGATGAAATCACAGTACAGTGAACACATGCTGCCTAAAATCAGCCTTGTTGGGGAGTACTCCCAACTGCCACCCCCAAGACACATGGTCCAGTCCACTTATCTATAGTCTGAGATGTTCACCAACAAAAATGGATTAAAGAATCTTGGACACAAAGGGCCAAAAGAAAAAGCCTGAGATGATCGGTTCTGTGATTTGTTGCAGAGTGATAAAGAGTAAATGGTGAGTAAGTGTCGTGTCCAAAAGTGGAGACTCCACGGTCAGCAGACAGGAGAGGGCAGTACAACGGCAGGCGCTCAGTAGTCATCCAACGTCTCGATTTCACCCATGTTGAGTCGCTCCGATGATGCATTGACTGAGAATCCTGCAGAAAAAAACTGGCTATGAGTGACCACACCCAGGCAACCAAGTGGCTCAAAATCTAGGCAGTGAGATGGAATATAAGTCTTTGTTTTTGAGACAAGGTCTCACTCTGTCACCCAGGCTGGAGTGCAGTGGCGTGATCTTGGCTCACTGCAACCTCCACCTCCTGGGTTCAAGTGATTCTCATGCCTGAGCCTCCCAAGTAGCTGGGATTACAGACACATGATACCACACCTGGCTCAGTTTTCTGTATTTTTAGTAGAGACAGGGTTTCACCATGTTGGCCAGGCTGGTCTTGAACTCCTGACCTCAAATGATCCACCCGCCTTGACCTCCCAAAGTGCTGGGATTACAGGCGTGAGCCACTGCACCTGGCTGGTCTTTCGTTTTTGAGTATACCATAGGAGTACTACGGGGAGACAAAATAAAGGTCACAGTAGTAGCTTTCTGTTCTTCCAAGGAGAGAGATTCTTTATTTTCTTAAGGTTCTGGTATAACTCAATTAGGAAGGAAAATAAAACAAAATATCACCAATTAAAAAGAACTGCAAACCACTGCCTTGGAGAATCAGAGAAAAAAATGGGATGTGGGTGTGTGCCAAGGATGGCCTGGGCTGACCCTGGGGGAAGTTCATGCAGGAGGTCTACCTTAAAAGAAATGGAGGTGGACAGGGGGTCTACCATGGGGTGATATACACACTAAGTACTTTGTAGCTACTTGACCACATGACTTTGAAATCTGAGTTGGATTAATACCCCTTCAAACCCAAACCCTCTTTAATAGGAATACTTTCTCCCACCAGTCAAAAACTTTATGAAAGTTCTGGGCCAGAGCTTTTGATACTCAGGGATGACAGGCTTCACAAGGAAGACACACTATACATCCTTAGAGCCCTCACATATTCTCTCTTTCCCACAGTAGACAGAGCAAGAAGATTAAAGTACTTTATCTACTATAGCTGCAAAGGAAAGTATTTCAGTTAGCAACATTTGATTAACCAAAATGGAATTTGGCTTAGAAAAAGCAGTACGAGCATATCCATTGAAGGAAATAAGCAGTACTGACAAACAAGACTGAGATTTGAAAACCTAATGCTCACTGGGCCTGGTGGAGGCGGAGGTGTGTGGATTACTTGAGGCCCGGAGTTCGAAACCAGACTGGCCAACATGGTAAAACCCTGTCTCCACTTAAAATACAAAAAAAATTAGCTGGGTGTGATGCTGCACGTCTGTAATCCCAGCTACTCGAGTGGCCGAGGCAGGAGAATCACTTGAACCCAGGAGGCGGAGGTTGTAGTGAGCTGAGATCACATCACTGCACTCCAGCCTAGGAAACAGAGCAAGACTCTGTCTCAGAAGCAAAAACAAAAACAAAACGTAAAGCCAAATTATCGCATGTATGTAATTTTTCCAAAATTACAATTAGAAGTTGATAAAAATTGTGATGAACAATACCTCTTTAAACTGAGTGACTCCCAAAAACGTTCCAGGTCCTTTACCTTGAATGAAATCCCAAACTGTTTTAGGAGCTATTTGAATACCAAAAAGTAAACAGGCAATGTCCTTATTCTAAAAGCAGTTCTGTTAATACTAGCTGGGTTTTTTGCAGCCTCTTTTTTGTTTTTTAATGTTCAAGTTTTCAAATAAATACACACCCGAAATGTAACAGTAATAAACAAAAATGCCTTAAATAAAAATACCTTAATTAACTGGCTCAAAAATATCATGATTCAAAAAAATAAAGATGCCTATTTATTAACCAAAAAAGCTGTGGTACAAACTGCTTACGAGGCCAAATACAGGGAGAGGCTAGGATTCCAAACCCCATCCTGAGTTTGACCCCATCAACTATGTTCCCATAACCCAACTATGTTCCCATTTTTTTCCCCTTGAAAATAATGAAAGCCTCAATGTTTGCGTGTGTGTGTGTGCGTGTGTGTGTACGTGTGTGTGTGTGTGTGTGTTTAAAGATAGTGTCTCACTCTGTCACCCAGGCTGGAGTGCAGTGTTGGAATCTTGGCTCACTGCAACCTCTACCTCCAGGGCTGAAGTGATCTTCTCACCACAGCCTCCCCAATAGCTGGGACTACAGACGTGTGTCACCACACCCAAATAATTTTTATATTTTTTGTAGAGACAGGGTTTTGGCATGTAGCCCAGGCTGGTCCTGAACACCCGGATTCAAGTGATCTGCCCACATCACCCTCCCAAAGTGCTGGGATTACAGGCGTGAGCCACCATGCCTGGCTCTAACATTTATTTTTAAAGTAACAGTTAATTAGGTAAGTACAAGAACCTAAAGGTCAAACCGTCTATGAAATAAACTATTACTCTATTTTGAGGCAAGTTTTTTCATTGACTTCATGTATAACTTAAGAACAGATAGGGGCCGAGTGCGGTGTCTCACGCCTGTAATACCAGCACTTTGGGAGGCGGTGGCGGGTGGATCATGAGGTCAAGACATTGAGATCATCCTGGTCAACATGGTGAAACCCCGTCTCTACTAAAAATGCAAAAAATTAGCTGGGCATGATGGCGCGTGCCTGTAATCCCAGCTAATCAGGAGGCTGAGGCAGGAGAATTGCCTGAACCCAGGAGGTGGAGGTTGCAGTGAGCTGAGATAGCGCCATTGCACTCCAGCCTGGGTAACAAAAGTGAAACTCTGTCTCAAAAAAAAAAAAAAGAACAGATAAAATGTGATAAAAGGCAATAATGAACTATATGCAATAGAAGTGGAAATGAAATTTTAAAAACTAAATTAATTTTATTCATGGAAAGACAGGAAGGGAAAAGTCTGTGGCCAAAAACATGTTGATTAATACATTAATTATTGGTCTAGGCTTTTAGCAAACAGACATGTTCTCATTTACCTGTCATTTTAAAAACCAGCAGAGAAATGCATTCATACTTTCGGCTGAATGCTATTCTTTATCAAATTCAGCCATTTGATGGAAAGGAAAGTTCTGGGTACCATGAAACACAAGGCAATACAAACAAGGATTCAATCCATTATGCCTGGCTCTAAAGATGACATTCTGTGAAGTTCAGAACATAGTCTGACTCCTTTAAGATTTGTGAGATGGTTCTTATAAGAAAAGTCTAGGGAAAAACTGTATTGTGTGTTTATTACATCTGAATGCCGGTTGCTGATTCACAATGACCGCCTGAGGAACTCTAAAAAAACAGGAAGCCACTGAAGAATACTGACAATTAAAATAAGGCAGTGGCGCCCTCTGCTGGTTCGTTTCAGAAGCAAGTTTCCTTTCAATTAATGACTGCTTTTTCAATGAAGACTTCCTATTCTTGCATTTTATGCATGGGGAATGTGTAGCTAATGGATAGTTATTAATTTTTTCTCAGTATATAAATTATATTAAATATGTAAATTAAAAAATAATAAATGAAAATGAAATGAGTAAGTATAGGACAAAAAAGCAATTATGAGAGGAACTTCTAGAGTGAGGTTTAGGTGAGCAGTAATTTTCATCAAACGGTTCATGTGAAAGCCCACCTCAGTGAGTATCCCCAATACTTTGTTCAATGTTTGCTTTTCTTCCCCTTCAAGGTATATGGATTCCTTAAAACTCTATTCCTAGTATGACCTATCTCCCACTCCCTTGTAGTGAGGTTTTCTTAAGTTCCTTCCTTTTTTAGATCTATAATAAAAGATGGGATCCAAAGGAATATTTAAGTCCAAATGGTCTGACCTCATTTTCAGAGAGTAACCTTTTCCCTAACAGCCTACCCTCAAGTCCCAAAGCTTCTTAGCTAGCACTCACACTTACAATTTAAGCAACGTTTTGAAAATCTATTCACCTATTTCCATACAAATTGGATAAAATTTCAGGCCACTCCATTTACCCTTAACATCAACTTTTGAGACAAGCAGAGGAAAACGGAATTGTACCAGATCTACAAGTTCGCAAACCCAACTTTTAGGCACCAATTCTTCGTTATTATTGTTTTTAAATGATTATTATTTTTTGAGATGGAGTCTCATTCTGTTGCATAGGCTGCAGTGCAGTGGCGCAATCTCAGCTCTCTGCAACCTCTGCCTTCCAGGCTCAAGTGATTCTCCTGCCTTAGCCTTCCAAGTAGCTGGGATTACAGGCGCCCACCACCACGCCCAGCTAATTTTGTATTTTTAGTAAAGACAGGGTTTCACCATGTTGGCCAGGCCGGTCTCAAACTCCTGACCTCAAGTGATCCACCTGCCTTGCCTCAGCCTCCCAAAGACATGAGTCACCACTTCTGGCTTCAGGCACTGATTCTAAAGGACAGTCCTGTAAGTTAGATTTTACTGTCATGTTGTTTTCACCAGGGCAGGAAGGCTCTGAAGGAAAGAGAAGATCCACCAGGGCAGAGTAAGGTTACCACCTGCCTCTCTCAGGCACTTCATGATGTCAAATGCAACCCAGTCAGCACTCAAGACACCATATGCAACCCAGTCAGCACTCAAGACACCATCCCATTCCTCTCAGCCTGCTCCATGTTCCGCTGCTTATCATTTCACAGCAAATGGCAACACCATCCATCCATCCTGCTTTCCAAGCCTGAGACCTTCCCACTCTTCTTGTCCAGCTAATTCTATCCCTGACATTTCTGAACTCCATCTAACTCCTTTTCATTCCCACTACCAAAACCCTATTCCAAGTCACTGGTCTATACTGCAGCCTCCTCACTGTTCTGCCCTCGTGACAGGACAATATCCGGAACTTCCATCTTTGCTAATATAATCTATCACAGACAACATGGTTTTACAGCAACTAAATAGAAAATAATTTCAGGGCCAAGCATGGTGGGTCACACCTCGAATTCCAGCACTTTGGAAGGCCAAGTGGGCAGATCACCTGAAGTCAGGAGTTCAAGACCAGCCCAGCCAACATGGCAAAAGCTCGTCTCTACTAAAAATACAAAAATTAGTTGGGCATAGTGGCATGTGCCTGTAGTATCAGCTACTCCAGAGGCTGAGGCAGGAGAATCGCTTGAACCCAAGAGGTGGAGGTTGCAGTGAGCCAAGATCACGCCACTGCATTCCAGCCTGAGCAAGAGTGAGACTCTGTCTTGAAAAAATGAAAAAAAAAAAAAAAACAAAAAACACATAATTTTAGTTTCATCACTTTTGCAAAAAACATGGGCAGCCTATACTGTTTGTTATTCCTGAAACAATATTCCCCATCCTTCCTGCCATTCTTTCAAAGCCGAAATTCAGATGTACGCTTTTCCAAAAAGCTAGAGTTCAGTGACCCATACCTCAGTCTCTCAAGTAGCTGTGACTATCAGTGTGCACCACCATGCCTGGCTGTTTTTAAATTTTTTGTAGCAATATGGTCTCGCTATGTTACCCCAGCTGGTCTCAAACTCCTGGCCTCAAGTGATCTGCCCACCTCAGATTCCCAAAGTGCTGGGATTACAGGAGTGAGCCACTGTGCCCAGCCTGCCCGGCATGGTCCATAATGCTAGACTAAAATAGCCATGGGTAACAGAGAGGGGTGGAACGAAAACAGCCCTGTTCTGAAATCTCAGCCTTCCATAGCCAAAAGCTACGTAATGCTGGGAAATGTTCTGAATCTCTGAGTCTTGGTCTACTCATCATTAGTAACACTGGGATGTCACCTCATAAGGCAAAGTAATTGATAATTTTATGATGTACAGAGTGATTACGAACACATACTGGTTCTTTTCTTGGAGCACCTGATCGGATTAATGGTCTGCTTTCAATACAAATAAGCATTTAAGTTTTTTAACATACATTTAGTATCATCCATTATTAGCATCATTTTCCAATTAAATTACTAAATATCCTCCAGGGAAATTCATATTAAATATAAAACAATGCTTTAAAGTTTAAAGCACCATACAGTATAAGTTGTTATTACATGAAGCATAGCTCCTGCACTGAGATACCCAGTAAATACTGGCTACTTATTTTGAACCAGTTAAAACATTAGTTATTGATAAAAAGAAATATTTCCCTTCTTCAAAAACAATGCTTCATGGAAATTCACACAGGATAATGGCTATCACCTGCACCCCTCCAACACACAGCTGAGACTTTAGGACTGTGCTCACCTAATAAACTGGGATCTGCTCGGACCATCTTCTGCTTTTTCTTCTTCTTGCCACTCTGCACAGCCTCAAAATTGGATTGTTGGTTGTTGCTTTGATTGGTTTGAAATACTGAATGGAGTGTACTGTGGTTCATCCCCCACACAGAGTCCTGTGAAATAAGCAGCATGACTGAGATTATGCAGCAGATTCAGACTTGGTTCACCCTAGGAAAATGCTTGGCTTGTCCTCACCTTATCAAGTATGAGCTTAAAAACAGAAAAAACAAAAAGCTTATCACATGTTCTAATAATAAAACCAATAGGCCACTGAGCCACCATTTTCCTCTATTTAGACTAAGACATCCCATTCAGGCTCTGTGCCTCCACAAAGCCTTTCCTGGTAACTCTGGTTTCCACCCTGCTGTGACAGCAGAACTTCTCTACTATGTATATATCGTCTGTACCAAACACCAGGACACGAATATAGCAAATAATCATGAGCAGACTACTGCACTCTAGCAATATACACCTCTCACCTAACCAAGAGCAGAAAGTCCCTTTGTTCCCTATGCCCCAGGACAGAGAGGACAGGGGTGGCATATTACCAAACAAGGTTAAAGTTGCGTATCTTCTTCCTATCAGCAATCCCAGAAGGGATCTGGCCCCAAAATATTCTCTGTGTAATTTCTACCAACTGGTTACACTACGAAATTGCCTATTAGCCCTTCATGCCTACTTGTGGCTCTTATTAGCACACTTCATTTTAACTTGGGATCTCCAATGAGCCAGTTAAGGCACAGGTGGTAGTAGTGAGGGAGGAGTGGTAAAAGTCTGTGGAAGAACAAGCCTGGTGTGATGTATGCGTGCGTGTGGCCCATGGATTCATATGCTTACTGGGCTTCCACCTTCCTGTTTTAGCCCACAGAGGAGCCATTTCACAAATACAAAGAGCCTTCTGTATTGCTATATGATGCCTTCTCTTTAAAATATTTTTCCTAGTGTTCAGGTGTTAACATCTTTCACTTTCCTTCAATTTATGCCTGTTGAATGTTAAATGCCTTGTACTTCTCTGTATTGTCTACATCCTAGGAATTGACCCATAATGAATATTGATTATCTCTAGAATAATAATTAGAGTAAAGGATATGAATATCTTTAAAGCCCTTCCATGAGCCTTACCAACTTGCCTTTCAGAAAACTTGTACAATTGAGTCTCACAGATTCTGTATTTGTGAATTCACCTACTTGTTAAAACGTATTTGTAACCCCAAAATGAATCCCTGTAGTGCTTTTATGGTCATTCTGGGAATGCACATACTCAGATCCAAAAACATGAGATGCTAAAGGCATACATTCCCAGTCAAGGTAGAACAAGGAAACAATACCTTCTTGTTATAGTTCTCAATACTGCCAGCAAGTATCCTTTTTGTGGTCTATTTAGTGCCCTATTTTCCTAATTTTTTTGCTTTTTGTTAATAATTTCACTTTTTTTTCCTTTTTTAGAGTCTTGCTCTGTCACCCAGTCTGGAGTGTAGTGGCACAATCTCAGCTCACTGCAACTTTTGCCTCCTGGGTTCAAGCAATTCTCCTGCCTTGGCCTCCCAAGCAGCTGGGATTACAGGTATGTGCCACCATGCCTGGCTAATTTTTGTATTTTTAGTAGAGAAGGTGTTTCACCATGTTGGCCATGCTGGTCTTAAACTCCTGACCTCATGATTCACCTGCCTCGGCCTCCCAAAGTGCTGGGATTACAGGTGTGAGCCATGGGATTTCACTGTTTAAAGTGGACCTCAACTGTAGTGCTGAAGAACTGGTTGGTGTTCCTAAGCACAGGAAGGCTGTGTTGTGAGGTGCCTTAGGAAGAAAATATGTATGCTAGATAAGCTTTAGTTGGGCATGAATAATAGAGCTATTGGTTATGAGTTCAATGTTAGTGAATCAATCAATACATATTAAATGAGGTGTCTTTAAAGAGACACCCACATAAAACAAGGTTATATAATAATCGGTGACAAAAGTGTTTTGACTAGAGGTTTACGGGAACCTAATCCGGTATAACCCCTAGGAGGTCAGTATTTGCTCAGATTTCATTTATATTTTCTGTTCAGTACTTGCTCTCATTATTCACAGTAGTTATATTCTGTAAAGTCCCCATGAACTTCCGTAAACTTGTAAGTTTGTGGGGACTTCATAGAACATAACTACTGTGAATAATGAGAATCCCTGCTGCATCTTTTACAACCCCAACAGCAACGTGAACTATCTGGCATGCTGCAGTGTTGTCAGTACTAAGAACAGTGCATCCTGAACACTGGAGAATTCAACATTTTAAGTTTTAACTTTTCCTTTTTTTTTTTTGAGATGGAGTTTTGCTCTTGTTGCCCAGGCTGGAGTGCAACGGTGCGATCTTGGCTCACCGTAACCTCCGCCTCCCGGGTTGAAGCAATTCTCTTGCTTCAGCCTCCCGAGTAGATGGGATTACAGGCATGTGCCACCACGCCCGGCTAATTTTGTATTTTTAATAGAGACAGGGCTTCTCCATGTTGGTCAGGCTGACCTGAAGCTCCTAACCTCAGATGATCTGCCCGCCTCAGCCTCCCAAAGTGCTGAAATTACAGGTGTGAGCCATCGCACCTGGCCAAGTTTTAACTTTTCAAAACTAGATCTATGGGTTTGACATGTTGGAATTTGCAATCTAACAATGACACATATACAAATCAAGAAAAATGGAACTGGTAAAGCCAGTGTTAAAATGAATAACTGTACTTGCTATTTGGGAGATACACTAAGGTACCTGCAGATATAATTTGAAAATATGAAGTCTACGCATTTTTTAATGCGTGGTTATTGGATATACAAAAATGGTACCTTTGCATTAATTTTCATTTCTCTGGTTACTTGACATTTAAAGGTATTAATCCTCAGAGGTACTTCATACACGATGCTACTTTATACCTGCTGCTGTGACTGCGGCTGCTGCTGTGGCGGTGGCTGCTGCTGTTGCTGTTGCTGCTGCTGACGCTGCTGGTTGGCTTTCTGTTTGGCACGACGCTCAAGGAACTGCTTGGCAAACTCCTTGGCCTCAGAAGTATCTCCCAAATAGGCCCTGATATAATCATGGACCTCATAAGGAGATTCTACTTCTTTCAGGAAAGAAACAAATGTGGGAACTGCAAGATGAGAGGGGAGAAGACAAGAGTAACAAAGAAATAATGAAAGACAACATATAAAAATCAGTCTCCATTTTTAATACATCTTTGCACCTAATCAGACATTAATGACAGAAACTTGGTAAGTATGCAGTAATTGTGTTTAAATATTCTTTAAACTACCTTACAGAAATGAAAAAAAAAACCACTATCATCACAATGCCCATATCATATGCTTAATTTCACTGAACGTTATATTGACTACACACTATCATCACAATGCCCATATCATATGCTTAATTTCACTGAACGTTATATTGACTACACACTATCATCACAATGCCCATATCATATGCTTAATTTCACTGAACGTTATATTGACTAAACACTATCATCACAATGCCCATATCATATGCTTAATTTCACTGAACGTTATATTGACTACACACTATCATCACAATGCCCATATCATATGCTTAATTTCACTGAACGTTATATTGACTACACACTATCATCACAATGCCCATATCATATGCTTAATTTCACTGAACGTTATATTGACTACACACTATCATCACAATGCCCATATCATATGCTTAATTTCACTGAACGTTATATTGACTAAACACTATCATCACAATGCCCATATCATATGCTTAATTTCACTGAACGTTATATTGACTAAACACTATCATCACAATGCCCATATCATATGCTTAATTTCACTGAACGTTATACTGACTACACACTATCATCACAATGCCCATATCATATGCTTAATTTCACTGAATGTTACACTGACTACACACTATCATCACAATGCCCATATCATATGCTTAATTTCACTGAACGTTATATTGACTAAACACTATCATCACAATGCCCATATCATATGCTTAATTTCACTGAATGTTATATTGACGAAACACTATCATCACAATGCCCATATCATATGCTTAATTTCACTGAACGTTATATTGACTAAACACTATCATCACAATGCCCATATCATATGCTTAATTTCACTGAACGTTATATTGACTACACACTATCATCACAATGCCCATATCATATGCTTAATTTCACTGAATGTTATATTGACTAAACACTATCATCACAATGCCCATATCATATGCTTAATTTCACTGAACGTTATATTGACTAAACACTATCATCACAATGCCCATATCATATGCTTAATTTCACTGAACGTTATATTGACTACACACTATCATCACAATGCCCATATCATATGCTTAATTTCACTGAATGTTATATTGACGAAACACTATCATCACAATGCCCATATCATATGCTTAATTTCACTGAACGTTATACTGACTAAACACTATCATCACAATGCCCATATCATATGCTTAATTTCACTGAACGTTATATTGACTAAAACAGTTACTTGACTAAGGCTGGAAGAAATCTGGGGATTCATTCTTTCTCTCCTGAAGAATAGCCAAATTCAATCAATATTTATTAACTCCTATGAAGTACGCCAGGCACTACAACATATACTAAAGAAAACAGCTATATCCTCCTGGAACTTTCAACCCACTGAGATGTTTGAGAGAGAAATCAAATGGAAAATGTAAGCAGTGTGTGGTACAGGACAAAAGCATGAGCATCAGAGTTAGACAAACATGGATTTAAAACCTGACTCTGAAATTTGCTGGCTGTGTGACCTTGATGAGTTATTTAACCATTCTGAGCCTCTGTTTCCTAATTTATAAAATGGGGATAATATTACCTACCTTATAAAGGTATCTTTAAAAATTACCGCAAATGTCAAATAACTGGGATACTACATGTTAACCCCAAAAGAGTGCCTAGCACATGGTAGGTGCTTAATGCATGGCAGCCATTACTGTTATTTAAAATTGTTTTCTCTGTAGACTTTTAGACCATTAGATACTGTTACCATGCTGCAAAGGAACCCCTTAATTCCTTTACTGCTGTTTTTCACAGATTCTTGGCTTTAGACAGGATGTCAGAGATGGACTAGTTCAATTCAGCCTATCAGTTATGGGAATCCTGACATGTTGACCAGTCTCTCTTCAAACATTCAGGGATGGAAGATAGGTCTGTGAACAGCTAACCATGAGCAAGTTTTTCTCTAAACTGTGCCAAAGCCTTTTCACTTCTGCACATTGGTCCTAGTTTTGTCCCACGCAAAATAAGTATACTTGCTTTATCACAATTCCCACTCCCTCCCCCAAAGGTAGAAAGGGAATGATGTCACATCACCTCAGCCATCACTTGCCCAGGTTGACCTTTGTTCCCAGCATGACGGTTACTTTTTTTTTTTTTTAACCTGACATAGCTGGCAATGTCCCCCATAAAATGAACAGTATGGAACTATGACCTCCTCTGTCCTGTGTATCATTAAGGCAGTCTAAGATGGCATTCACTTTTTAACAACCACCAATAACCTATTTGAGCTTAGTATTACTGGACTTTTCTCACAAGTAATACTATTAAAGAGTCAAGTTCTTACGGCAGGCGCAGGGATTGACCTCCTTAGATTTCATCTTCTGACTTTGGACCCACTGTTCCAATTTGCCAGCCTCTCTGTGGGTCCTGCTCTGTCATTCCACATGCTGGGTTTCCCTCCCCAATTCTTACCATCCAAGTTATTTGCCGTATTAAGGGCATGAAGCATCTGTTCACACCACTGGGTAAATCCATCTTGGGCTTTATTTACTCCCTGAAAGAGCTTCAGCAACTTTTCTTCTTCTTCTACTTTCTTATTCTGCCGGTTAGACACACCTACAGATTTACTAAAGCAAAACAATAGGGTGATATTATATTCCCAGAAACTGTTACTCTATGATTATAGTACAACACCATAAATAGATAATGTCTTGGCAATACTGGCTGGATGTCCAGTAATCCAATGCTTGGCTCCAAAAATGAAAAAAAAATTCAAATATTTGGATTGGATATCCCCTTAAAATCTAGCCTCAGCTAATATATCCTTATTTGTGGATACAGGGCTTCTATTTAGAAAAAATGATGAAATTCTTCCTATGTATCTTTAGGGTAGGTTGTTTAATTTTACTAAGTTTCAGTCTCCTTATCTGTAAAATGGTACTAACACTTTTTTGGGTTATCTAAGTAATAAAGATAGTGTACGAAAAGGCCTAGAGCACAGTGCCTGGCAAAGATGCTCATAAACTAACATAAATTAATTGTCCTATTCATAATATATTAGGCCCTAAATCAAGAAGAAACAATCTGACAACACTACCATTTATTAAGTAGTTACTATGTGCCAGGCACTTACTACTTATCATGTATTCATTTAATCTTTACAATTACATGCATGAAGTTGTTATTATTATCTTCATTTTACCGACGAGGGAACTGAGGCCCAAAGAGGTTCCCCCTCTTGCCCAAGGTCACACAGCTAATAAGTGGTAGTGCTGGGATTTGAGTTCATGTACTTAACACTAAAACCCATGCTCGTTCAATAACGCTGTATACTGAGGAAAGAAAGATGAAGATGAAAATGTAACTAACTTATAAAAATAAATAGGTTTAAGGTCATTACAGAAGTATTTTTATAATACTCATATTAATAGCATACATCACTTAAAAATACAAATTTAGGGAAAATGCTAAGGCATCTAGAGAATACGTTGGAGAAATGTTCAACAACACAACAAAAACATTATACTATTCCTAATAATTATTAAGTGGTTACCATGTACTATGCAACAGAATAAGTGCTCAGCAGAGGGAGCCCCAAGAAATAATACAAACGTGTGTCTATGGGGAAGAAAGCAATTGCCATAATTATGACTGCAAGCATTTGAAAACAGATTAAAACGGTGAGTAAAAACTAAATAACTACCTTTTACTGTCCACCCAACATCCCACTTATTCCATCCCCACCTCCCAACCAACCAAGGTGCATAGGTGTGGTCATTTTGGGCCCTACCTGAGACTGGCGTTGTTTTTATTTTTATTTGTTGAATTCCTAGGTCCCACCTCTTTCACTGCATCATCCCAGAATCCCATGTTGGAGTTTTTAGTGTCAGCATTACTCCAAATACTACTGACTAGGTCAGATGCCCACTGGTTAGGAGGACCAGAATTTATAGAGCCCCAAACAGAATTCCCAATGCTCGTGTGCAGATTGGAATGCTGTTAAAGAAAAAGAGAAAAATTGTTATCGTTAATAATGTTAAAAACATAAGAAGACAGAAAAGATAAAACTAGTCCACACAATGACAGCTTAGGAAAATGCACACACCGTATTGTTACGAGCTCTGTTTGGTTGCTGGTGCTGCTGCTGCTGCTGCTGCTTTTGCATTTGCCTGGCTTCTTCCTGCTGAATCTCCAGAAGAGATTTCGTGGTACCCGAAGGTTTGCTGACATTCCCCCAACCTGAGAGTTTCTGCTGTTGCTGCTGCTGCTGCTGTTGGAGAGCTTTCATCAACTCCCTCTGCTGGCGCCTTTGCTGTTGCATAAAAACAGAAGCTAGCTGAGGATTCCTGTTTTTAGATCATAGTTATAAACATCCAGTCTACTAAATGGAATGCAAATACATAGTAGCTACATAAAATTAACCTGATGGGATTAATTCTGCTGTTGCAAATAAAAATGTAAAGTGCTAACAGTATTAAAAAGAAGAATGAGAATACCAAATGCAAAATTACTTATTTTTTTGTTGTTGTTGAGACAAAGGCCCACTTTTTCATTCAGGCTGGAGTGCAGTGGCACAATCTCAGCTCATTGCAACCTCGCCTCCCAGGTTCAAGCCATGTCTGGCTAATTTTTTTATACTTTTAGTAGAGACGGGGTTTTACTATATTGGCCAGGCTGGTTTCAAACTCCCGGCCTCAAGCGATCCACCTGCCTCGGTTTCCCAAAGTGCTGGATTACAGGTGAGAGCCACTGTGCCCGGCCTCAGAATTACTTCTTAAAAATTAAGAAGGCCTTTGGGTAAGCATAGAAATGAAACATGTTTACTTCCTAGAGCCTCCACCAAAGGAGGCCTTGTATATATACACAGTATAAACCCATAAGGATAAAGAAAACAGAATAGATTTTTTTTTTAATCTGAAAGCAGATAAATAATGAGAACCCTAAAGGAGCTCAGAAACAGGCAGATTCATACAGAAAGCTCAGGAACTGGAGGTGCTGAGTATCTCAAACAGAGAAAGACTGGCTGAAAGTCTGTAAAAAGAAGTAGTAAGGCTCCTGATTGCCTCCTGTACCCTATGCAGTCAGACAATTCTTTCTCCCTCACCACAGTAGAAAACTGAACATTCCCTATCTGGAGAAGCCAAACCAGACTGGCACATTATCCTATGGCAAAGCCAACCAGCACAAGAGAACACACCTATAGATAGGTGCCAGCAAACTAGGGGTTTGGGGGTGGAAGTCTCCAAAAGAACAACTCAGCCAGAAACTATTATGGGAAAGCCCACCAAGGTGCTGTACATACCAGAACCTCCAATCGGCTCTTGAGTGCCTTATTTATAAACAAACAGCCTAGAATTACCAAACATTTGACACAAACTTCTAAGATAAAAGCCAAAGATCAAAACAAACAAAAATACAAAATTCAGCAGAAATAGATATAAGACAATGGGAAAATAGCAGTTGGCTTTTTAAGAAGCTATCAGTAAGTATTAATATCCTTAGAGAGGTAAGGTGGTGCATTCAATGAAAGAAGAATGAAAGGCTGTAAAAAATACTTAAAGAACAAAATAAGGACTCACAGACATTAATATAAGATAGCTTATGTTAAAAGCTCAGCAGGGCTGCGTACAATGGCTCATACCTGTAATACTCAACATTTTGGGAAGCCTAGGCAGGAGAATCACGCGAGCTCAGGTGTTCAAGGTTACAGTGAGCTACCATCACACCACTGCACTCCAGCCTGGGTGACAGAGCAAGACCCTGTCTCTAAGGAGAGAAGCTGGGAGAAGCCCAATAGAAGGACCAGAGGTAAAACTGAGAAGATGCCCCATAGAAATGATAAAAAGGGAAGGGCACAGTGGCCCATGCCTGTAATCCCAAGACTTTGGGAGGCCAAGGTGGGAGGATCGCATGAGCTCAGGAGTTTGAGGCCAGCCTGGATAACGTAGTAAGACCCGTCCCTACACAAAAATTTTTAGACTAGCCTTAAAAAAAAAAAAAAAATTTTAAACATAAGCCAGACATGGTGGCACCCAGTAGGACCACTAACCCATAATCACGCTAGACATTCTGGAACACTGCTTGACTAGATCCCTTTTACTTGAAAATTTTACCTCTTCTCGAAGCTGCCGTTCTCGTTCTTCTTCTAGTTTTTGGATTTCAGCCAATGACAGGGTAGCCTGGGACTGACATGCTGTTGTATTGGACTGCTGGCCCCACGTTGAAGAAGAGGGAAGCTAAAAAAAAAGGGGGAAGGCAAGAAAGTTCATGAGGAAATGTGTACAGAAAACAAAGAAGCAATAATGCATTATGTACAGCCAGAACATGTGCATTTCGTTCAACTCCATTTACCACATTCAATTCAAATTTCCTTCCTCATTGCTTTTACTTACCACCCTCTCAGTTAGCTTCTTTTGCCTAAGTTGTCACTGCTCCAAACCCAGGTTTATTTTAAAACAACTTATAATACACATATCATATACACTTGTATTTGATCTACCACTTGGTGACAACAAGTTTGTTACATCTGGTACTGACATATACAGCAATATACAATATATATAAACAGGAGTCAACAAAAGAATCACTAACTTGGCTTAAGAATTTTTTAACTGACCAAAGCAACAAAGGACATGATCCGCTGCTGTCCAGTGAAAGGCTTAAGGACACGATTTCTGAGGGTAGCACCATGGGAGGCAGCTCATGAGAGATGCTGGCATAATCCTTGATCAGCCTTTATGAAAAGGAGTCCCTGTTAACCAGGCTGCAGCTTCTAGTCATGAGCAGTAAGCTGCTTTTAATCAATAATTTTATTCTTCCTACTCCTTAAGATTATTGACTAAAATAATGAGTATAAATTTCTGGGTCCTGAATATTTCAGTATTCTCAAAGCCTGGTTATTCTCAGAGAATCCCTTGCTCCTTGTGGCCAGAAAAATATACACTTTTAATACTGAGGCATCAAACAAGCAAACACAATAAAAAAGAAACCTAACCAGACTTACAAAATATATTAAATAAAAATAATACAGGAACATAGATAAAAACAAGTAAAATGCCAAATAGTCTCCCAAAAAATGGACCTACAGTAGATATCTGTAAGAGTGGATACTTACAGGATAAAAGGTATAAATCGTTTAAACCATCGCTGATATTGCCAAATAGCTCTTCAACTGAATGCCTTTAACACTACTAAACACAATCAACCCTCAACATTTTTTGGCCAATATGACAGATAACAACATTTCTCTCAAAAAATGCACCTGTCCCGGGGGAGTAGAGGATGCAGAGGGAAGCTAACAAAGACTGGGTAGGAAGGTGTTGACAGGCAAACCGAGCAAAATTAACTTTTTCTACATAGGAAACGACTCATTTGAAGGCACCATCAAGATCAAGCAAGGCAGTAGATCTCAAACCGGTAGCAAAGCCTGAAGGGACCGACAGCCCTGGCTCTACCACACCAGAAGATCAGAAGATCAGAAAGGAAGGCAGGAGAATCAGCGTATTTTAATCATTCTGATGCAGCCAGTAACCACTGATGTTGTCTAAAATCACAGTAGACATGTCACTTCACTGTAACCAGGAAATAATCTCCAGCTGCTTCAGCAGACCTCAACCAGCATTGGGAAGAGGCAATGCCTTCAGAAATGGCCAACTACCCTCATAGGCACCTCTGAGAATCTTTCTATTACTGTGCCAAAATATATTTATTCTCTTTCTCCTCCCCGGACCAACTCTCTATTTCTCTATCTATACACACACATACATACGCATATATATATACATATATACATACACAATCTCTCTTAAGTATATATACACACAAATATATAGTCTGTATTCCATAGGTCTGCTCTCTAGGGTAACTGCAGACCAAAAAATTTTCCTGAAGTCTTCTTTGTACCTAGGAAGTAATATCCCAGACCTCTTTCAACATTGCCATGTGACACTTACCAGCCCAACCAACACCCTATAATGCCCACTCAGAGAACTGTAGTGTGTCAATCATCCTTCTCAGAACAAATCTTTGCCAAATCAAAACAGAAAATTTAGCACATTCTGTGACTCCTGAATGCCTGATATCCCCTAATATCCTTCGTTGATTTTTAAAACTATACTCTTCTTGTTCTGCCCTGACATTGCTACCTTACATTTCAACACTGGTTTTGCTTTAAGAAATAACTGTGTTTCACTGTCAGGTGACAGCATGAGGAGCTGCATGGACCTGCTCCCTGGCAAAACTGGTAAAGATCTGTTTTTCGTTTTATTTTTTCTCGAGACAGAGTCTCACTCTGTCATCCAGGCTGGAGTGCAATGGTGCGATCTCAGCTTACTGCAACCTCCAACCTTCTGGGTTCAAGTGATTCTCCTGCCTCAGCCTCCCAAGTAGGTGGGATTACAGGTGCCCGCCACAATGTCCCACTAATTTTGTAATTTTAGTAGAGACAGGGCTTCACCATGTTGGTCAGGCTGGTCTCAAATGCCTGACCTCATGATCTGCCTGCCTTGGCCTCCCAAAGTGATGGGATTATAGGCATGAGCCACTGTGCCCAGCCAAAGATCATTTTTTAAATAATAATTTAAAATCTCTGGCTGGGAGCAGTGGCTCACACCTGTTATTCCAGCACTGGGAGTCCCAGGCGGCAGATCATTTGAGGTCAGGAGTTTGAGATCAGCCTGGCAAACATGGCAAAAACCCATCCCTACCAAAAGTACAAAAAAAAGTAGCTGCGTGTGGTGGCACACACCTGTAATCCAGCTACTTGTGAGGCTGAGGCAGGAGAATCCCTTGAACTCAGGAGGTGGAGGTTGCAGTGAGCAACTGCACCCACTCCAGACTGGGTGACAGAGCCAGACCCTCAAAAAAAATAAAAGTCTTAAATATATAAATGAAGTCTCAAAAATAAATAAATAAATAAAGTTTCTGGAAATACTCCTAAGGGTATAGAGCAAATTTAAAAGAAAAAGTTTATTCAATAACATTTGCTAAAACTCAGTAAGAACAGCAAGAGCTGGTGATACTTAAACCTCTTGGTTTATTCTCTCCTTCCAGCTTAATTAAACAGAAACTCTACTCTAGACTGGTACAGTCAAGACACGGCTCCCTTCTCCCCTCAGCCACCAGTCAGCAGGATTTCTTCCTGGAAAAAGCACATCAGTGCGTCTCACCCTGATGACAGTTACCTGTGACAAAGGCTAAGTTCCAAACAAGTGCAACAGATCTGGAGGCTCTCTTCTTGTGCCCAGCCCCACTGGTAGGATGGAAACTCTGTTGACCACAGCAATACCAACACTAGGGCACAGATTGCCAATGCAGCTGGCCGGGCCAAACCACCAGGAGAGGCAAGCCAAGAAGACCTGAGGCTACTATTCTGCCCAGCCTTCAGCAAATGTTAGAGGAAAGCAGACCACAGTGCCCACTTCCAGAGCTGACTGAGAGATTTTTGTCTGAGGGTAGGAGTGTAGGAAACAGGCAGAAATCAGAGCTTTAGGTTTCTTCCCAAAGGAACTGATTTCATTTGCAACAGATACTAATAGTGCTTTCAGAAAAGAAGATGGGGTAAAAGGCAATTGGGAGGAGACTGGTAGATTCATAGGAGATACAGGCTAAGCTTAGGAGGCTCCTACCTTATCTGAGAGAACTAGTTAAAGAAAACAGGAAGGAATCCCCCCAGAGTCAGAACAAACCTTACATACAGACTTCAAGAACTACTTCTTCATGGAAGCCTGAATTTAACTGGATCAGTCTGTCAATGTATGCCGCGGGGCACATTTTTTTGGGGGTGTGTGTGTCGGGGGGTGGGAGATGGAGTCTCGCTCTGTCACCCACCTCCACCTCCCAGACTCAAGTGATCTTCCCACCTTAGCCTCCTGAGTAGCTAGGACCACAGGCACGCATCACCACACCTGGATAATATTTTGTATTTTTTTTTTTTCTTTTGTAGAGACAGAGTTTCACCATGTTGCCTAGGCTGGTCCTGAATTCCTGAACTCAAGCAATCTACCCGTCTCTGCCTCTTAAAGTGCTGGGATTCCAGGCATGAGCCACTGCACCCAACCATTTCCCATTTGCCGCAATAATATTTGCTGGCAGTGCGTTCAGTTGCAGCGTTTACCCAGAGATAACTCGCAGTTTTTTTTCCCAGATCATTTGGCATCTGTTTTCTGTTCCAACAAGTTGTCGCAATTACATCAGTGCTGTTTTGATGTAATTCTCTGAAAAGCATTTAGGGGTAAAGTTAGGACTGTAATCCAAGAGTTACCTTGAGGTCAGCGCAGCAATCGCATGCACCTCCAGGGATATTCTCAGGGCAAATGGGAAGCAGGTTAAGAACAACAGAGCTCAGCTAGCAGTAAGTACAGTAAAACAGCCGAGTGTGGAAAAGACAGTCAAAGAGAGCCCTGCCAAACCCACTGTCACCTCAGAGTCACGCTGGGTACACCCAATGCTGTACCCCCAACATGGGCATCAACAAAGGCTTCACATGGTCAGGGGGTGGAGGAGGGAGTTAGACTCCACTAAAATAATCCATCCAGTCACAAAACAAATAAACAAGTAAGAAGATCAAGCTGGGAGGGGAGGGTGGAGATACTCAGAGTTGCTATAAGACATTATCAAAATGTCCAGATGCCAATAAAAAATTATGAGACATGCAAGGAACAAGAAAGTATAACCCATACACTGGGGAAAAAGCAGGCAACAAAAAGTGCCTGTGAGAGTGAAGAAGGTGTCAGATTTATAAAGTTGTTCAGAGAACTTAAGGAAGCTATGAATAAAGCAGTAAAGGAAGGTGTGATGACAGTGTCACACCGAATAAAGAATACTGATAAAGAGACAGATGGTATTTTTTAAAAATCCAAAAGGAAATTCTGGACTACAAAAGTATAATAACTGAAATTAAAAACTCTGCCCATCAATGGAGGACTTGATAAAGAAAATGTGTTTATATAAAGCATGGAATGCTACCAGTCACAAAGAAGAGTGAAATCATGTCTCTCACAGCAACACACATGGAACTGGAGGCTATCATCCTAAGTAAAATAACTTGGAAACAGAAAGTCAAATACTGCATGTCCTCACTTGTAAGTGGGGGCTAAACAATGGCTACATATAGGCATACAAAGTGGAATAAAGGACACTAGAGACCCCAAATGGTGGGAGAACAGGAGGTGAGTAAGAGTTGAAGAATAACCTACTGGGTACAACGCTCACTATTTAGGAGATAAGTACATGAAAAGCCCAGCCTTCATCACCATGCAATTAAGAAACCTACACTTGTATGCCCTAAATATATGTAAAAATTTTTTAATTAAAAAAAATCACTAGAGGCACACTACAGTATATCTGAACTGGCAAAGAAAGAAAGAAAGAAAGATCAATACAAATTGCACAATCAAAGAACAGAGAGAAAAAACATGAAGAAAATTAAAGGGAGCCTTAGAGAAATGAGACACCGCAAGGTACATGAAGTATAAGCATTACTCAAGTGCCTGAAGGAGAGAGAAAGGAACAGAACATACAATTGAAGAAATAATGACTAAAAATTTCTCCAGTTTATGGAAAAACATTAATCTACACATCCAGAAAGAACCACCAATTCTGAGTAGATTAAACACAAGGAGAGCCACAAACAGACATGTCATAGTAAAAATGCTGAAAGCCAGACTCAGTTTGGAAGTTACCTTTTTTTCAAGAAGCCTTTCCAAACTTCCCAGACGGATGGTGGTTCTCAGGTTTGAGAGAGCAACAGAATCCCTTGCAGGGTTTGTTTAAATACAAGATTACTCAGTTCCACCCCTAGAGGTTCTGATTCAATAGGTCTGGGTTGGGAATCTGCATGTCTAGTAAGAGAATGACTGACTCCATGCCACCTCTCCCACTACCCTCACCACACTATATTCTACTTTCCTGTTTAGATGTCTACCCTGTGAGCTCCTTGAAGACAGGGGACACTGAACCTTACTGCTCACTGCAGATCCAGCATGAAGGTATGCAGAACCTGCCATAAATCTGCTCCTCCCTTCCCAATTACTCCAATTTCATCGACGGTTCCACTATCTTCTCAGTAGAAACTTACCCCAGGAGGCACCCCAGCTTCTGCTTTCCTCCCTCAGCTCCAGAGAGTTACTAAGTCTTGCTATCAGGCCAGCTCCCTCCTTCTGGTCTCTCCTGTTCATTCATACCATCACCAACATAGCCTCTTAACTGGGCTCCCAGTATTCACTTTCTCCTTATTTAAAAAAAAAAATGCTTTGAATCCTCTTTAAAACAACACTTTGTGTACATCACCTCTTAATGTAACTTTCAATAAATGCCCATGGCCAACTCTGTTTCAAGCCCTATATTCTAGTTCCCATTTACACATCCGAATATTTATGTGCCTATATTTTTGTGAACTCTCTGGGGGCAACTGCCTTGTTTCATTTATCTTTGTCTCAGCAGTGCTAAACTCGTATGGAATACGCACTCCAGTGTTTACTGAGCCACATTAAATTTACAAACCAAACAGATATACTTGTTTTGCCTATATTGCTGCTCATGTCCTCTTGTTCTGCCTATATTGCTGCTCATGTCCTCTTGTTCACTCATTTAAATGCCTAATACAAAATATGTGCATTATATATCTTCCTGATGACCCCAGAAGTTCAAGACCAGCCTGGGCAACATGGTGAAACACCATCTCTACTGAAAATATAAAAAACTAGCCAGACATGGTGGCATGTGCCTGTAGTCTCCACTACTGGGGAGGCTGAACTGGGAGGATCATATGAGCTGCCCAGGAAGTCGAGGTTACAGTGAACCGAGATCGCACCACTGCACTGAGCCTGGGCAACGGGAGTAGGACCCTGTCTCAAAAACAAATAATTTAAAATATTTTAATATTAAAAAAAGAGAGAAAGTACAGTTTTACTGCTACTGGTACAGCCAGCACCCACCTAACTGAAAAAGGTTAGCAAGGAGCTCCTAAGGTTGATGCCTAGGGCTTTACCTTCATCTGCGCCAGCTGCTGCTGCTGCTGCTGCTGCTGCAACCTCCGGAGAGCCTCTTGCTGCTGCTGCCTCTGGCGCATTAACTCCTTCTGCCGCTGAACCTCCAGCTCCTTCCTCTTCCGTTCCTCTTCCTCATGCCGGAGTCTGGCTGCCTCCTCTTCCATTCGCACCCGGTTCTCCTCTAATCGACGCTGGGCTTCTTCTTCTTCCCGGGCCCATTTTGCAGCCTCCTCTTCCTTTCCAGAAGGAAAAATTAAAGAGAGAAATAATTTATTAATTGTGGGAGGAAAAATCTGACTTGTGAAGGCTTCTGTCAAATGGCTACAGAAATGACAGATAAAGCAGAAATTCTGTTTATGATGCAAGGTAGAAGTAACTTTTCTTTTAAAATAACTTACAGTAGACACAAAGGCCTGGCATGCTTACAGGATGAATTTCTTATTAAAGGACTGCCACTTTAAACGTGTGTGGTGAAAGCCCTAATCTCGAAGCAGCTCACCATCAACTGCAGGCAAGTCTCCTGGAAATACTGCTCCAACATTTGAGGTGAGCAAGCCTTTCAGGGTGCTGAGCACTAAGAGCTACAGGATGCTGACTACCATGACAGCATCAGCCAGTTCCGGAACCAAAGCAGCTTTCCAAGACCACTGAATTCCATCCCTGGCTCTTGCCCCTTGTGGGCCACGGACCCTTCAGAACATGTCTCCTCAACCAATCCTCCACCATCTACTAATTTTGCCCTTGCCTGGGCTCATTTTCCTTCTGCTTCCTTCCCTCAGAAGCATTCCATTGTGCCCTCCAAAACTCATTCCACTGTTAAGAAATTCCCTTCACCTTTGCAGTCTGCCTGCTGTGCCTGTAATGCTTTGTCTTATCCCGATCACATTCCTCTACTTCATACTCTAAAATGTCAGTCTTCGGTCAGACAGAAGTCAGCTACTCGGAGACTCACCTAGCCTTTAGGAGGTAGACTTTACCTTTGCCTTTTGATTAAGGTCAACTATACCCTGTCTTTATCTATTTGCTTCTAGTCCACCTGTGGCAGCTACTGTTTCTACGTATCCAACAACCACTACCTTTGTCAGGCTTCTTCCTTGCAGACAAAGCCTCCTGCCATGTCAGAGCTTTAAAATATCAGATTTTGCTTTTAAGCTTCCAGTGTTAACTAGCGAGTAGCCAAGTGATCCAACTGGGGTCAAAGAGATGTCTACTGGGAGACCTCTAGGGAAGAACTTCTTCCCAGATAAAAGGAAGAAACCATGAGAGAAAGGCCATTCCCCATTTGGATACGAGTTGCACACAGTGTGATATCCAAAACTCTTAACCATGACGTAAAATATCAAAACTCAAAAGTCAACACACCAGGAAATGCTAGAGAAGGAGTATGCAAAGGCCGTAAATCCTTAATGCCATTCACTGAGGCAAGTGTATTAACAGGCGAAAGGGCAGACCTCTTCAAGTGTAAGGCAACAATGATTGAAGCCATCTTAGGTGGATATTTTGATTTTGGAGCTGAAAGTATCCTAATGATGACGCTTACTTCTTGTATATTCATCACATACATAGGCTGTGCTTCTTGAGGACAGAAACAATTTCCTAATTGTCGTATACTCCACCAGAAAACAAGCACAATAACTGGCATACAGTACATTAACTAAACACGTTAACTGTTAAATTAATAAACCAAAGAATGAATCAACACACAATCTAACTTGAAAGCTATCTATTTCTAATAGAATTCAGGTTTCTGAAAAATAATTTCAATTTAGAATGCAGGCAAAAGTAAGCAAAACTACATTTTTAAGTGTGGACTGCACAGAGTGACTTCCAAAGAGTCAATATTGTACTGACTTACAGTACTACTTACAGTAGTAAGGGGGAAAGTGACTTACAGTGGAGAAACCTGACAAACACTACTTCAGCCAAGTGATTGAGGTCTACTAAGAACCACGTTGGCAATAGGTACCTCTTGATTTGATGTGATGAAAATTCCACTTTGCCTCTGTGATCTTCCTCCGAAATACCCAAAATCCAGTCTATTCATGAGAAAAACTTCAGATAAATTCCAATCAAGGGGTACCCTATAATATTATTTCTTAAAACTGTCAGTATTTCTTAAAACAGACGAAGTCATCAAAAACAAGGAAAGACTTAAGAAACTGTCATAGCCAAGAAGGGCCTAAAGAGACATGACAGCTATGCAATATGATATTCTCTTTTTTACAAGTTATTATCATTATTATTTTTTTGTAGAGACAGGGTCTCGCTATGTTGCTCAGAATGTTCTCGAACTCCTGGCCTCAAGTGATCCTCCTGCCTCAGCCTCCTGAGTCATGGGGATTACAAGTGAGAGCCACTGTGCCCAGCTAATATGATATTCTGAATGGAATCCTGGAACAGAAAAAGGGCATTAGGGAAAATCTTTTAAAATCTCAATAAACAATGGATGTTTAATAATAATGGATCAGTATTGGTTTATTAGTTGTAACAAATGTAACATACTCATGTAAGATATTAATAGCAGGGGAAACTGCTATTGTAAGCAAGGGGAAATATGAAAGCTCTGTGTGTTATATTCCCAGTTTCTCTGAAATAAAATCTACCAATAAAAAAAATCTATGTTAACATTAAAATAAAATGATTTGGGGGTTCTAGTTTCTTGTAATGACAGATTACCATGGTTGGACCGCCTGTCCCACATATAATTATAAAAGCTGAACAAAATACGAAAGAACTAAAAATGAAAAAAAGAACAGGTATACTGAGCCAGGCCCAGTGGCTTCTGCCTGTAATCCCACCTACTAAGGAAGCTGAGGCAAGGGGATCACATGGGGCTACAAATCTGAGACCAGAGTGGGCAATAGAGTGAGATCCCTGTCTCTAAAAAAAATAAAAGTAGAAATTAGCTATGCATGGGGCATGTGCCTGTAGTCCCAGCTACTTCAGAGGCTGAGACAGGAGGATCACCTGAGCCCAGGAGTTCAAGGCTGTAGTGAGTTATGATCATACCACTGTACTCCAGCCTGGTCGACAGAGTGAGATGCTGTCAATAAAAACAAACAAACACTAGAGAGAAATCAAAGAAGAGTCTACCTTCCCTCCCTGCCAATTGTCTATTAATCAAAAAAGCATACCTTTAAAAGAATACATGTGGCCAGGCACAGTGGTTCATGCCTGTAATCCCAGCACTTTGGGAGGCTGAGCCAGGCGAATCACCAAGTCAAGAGATAGAGACCATCCTGGCCAACATGGTGAAACCCGATCTCTACTAAAAATACAAAAAATTAGCTGGGCATGTTGGTGCGTGCCTGTAATCCCAGCTACTTGGGAGGCTGAGGTAGAAGAATCACTTGAACCCGGGAGGCGGAGGTTGCAGCGAGCCGAGATCATGCCACTGCACTTTGGCCTGGCAACAAAGTGAGACTCCATCCCAAAACAAATAAACAAACACACAAAAAGTAGGATTTTTATTTATATTTCACCCAAGGGCACTCCCCCATTCACCAGCAAAGGGTTCAAAGCGTTACTAGCGATTCTGATGTCAAAAGAGAGTTCTGGGATAGAAAAACAGTTAGGGGTAAAATTTGGAAGGGGGATCATCAAAAGGAAGAGAACCAGAAAAGAGATGAGCCCCCTAATCTGCTGAAATCCTTGGCTGGTGTAGACCTCAGGATAAGCCAAAAGGAGCAGCTGGAAGAACTCAGTAGAGATTAGAGATTTCTGCTGCTCTACCATAAGTGCGGCACGATGTTGAAGATTGAGAAGATTGAATTCGCCAAGGTAAATGCCAGCCAGAACTAAACTCTCTCTTTAAAGGGACAAACCAGAATGTATAATCTCATAACCTGCCATTCAGAATGTTCATTATATAACTTTTTTAAACTATAAAAATAATCATATATACACAAAAATGAAGGGAAAAATATATACCATGAAAACACCAAAGACAACTAGAATGATGTTAAGACAACCTTAACATCAATTTAATAGACTTTAAGACAAGAAATACAGTCAGAGGTAAACAGGAACATTTCATAATAAAAGCTTCACCAAGAAGACAGAACTATATAACTGTATATGCAAACAATAACAGAGCCTTGAAACACAAGAGCAAGTATTAACATCTAAAGGGAGAAATGAACAAATCAAAAACTGTAGTTTCAGATTTTAGCACCTGGTTTCTTAAGATGGAAATGCACGGCTAATTTTAAAAAAATGTTAGCATCTCTCTCAGGAATCAATATAACAACTAGGTAAAAATTAAGTAACGATATAAAATACTGATGCTATCAACCACCCTGACCTAATTGTCATTCATGAAACACTACACTCAATCATTGAGAAATATACATTCTTTTCAAATGTAGGAGGCCACGTGTGGTAGCTCCTGCCAATAATTCTAGCACTTTGAGAGGCCAAGGCAGGAGAATTGTTTGAGGCCAGGAATTCAAGACCAGCCTGGGCAATATAGTAAGACCCCATCTCTACACACTCTACATATTTTGAATTTTTTTTCCTTTTATAAAAAAAGTCAAATTTAGCAGTGGGGGTTTGCATACTAACTTCAGTGACACTAATAATGTTAATAAGTTCTGATAGCCTACTACCATTGGACCAGCCAAGACCCTGACTCTATAAATTTTTTTTTTTTAATTAGCGATGCATGGTGGTATATGCTTATAGTTGCAGCTACTCTGGAGGCTAAGGTGGGAGATAGCTTCAACCAAGAAGTTCTAGACTGCAGTAAGCTATGGTCACACCAGTGCACTTCACTGTGGGCAACAGAGTGAGACCTGGGCAAAAAAAAAAAAAAAAATCCCACAAATGCATGTAAAATAATGCACAGAGACAGACCATATATTGAACCAAATAAAAAAGGTCAATACATTTTTAAAAATTGGGATCCTACAGATTATGTTCTCTGATTACAATGTAATTAAGTTAGAACTAAATGTAAATAAGGGGCTAGGCACCATGGTTCATGCCTATAATCCCAGCATTTTAAGAGGCCAAAGTGGGCTGACTGCTTGAGCCCAGGAGTTCAAGACCATCCTGGGCAACATGGTGAAATCCCATGTCTATAAAAAATACAAAAATTAGCCAGGTGTGGTGGCACATACCTGTGGTACCACGTACTCAGGAGGCCAAGGTGAGAGGATCACCTGAGCCCAGGGAGGTAAAGGCTGCAGTGAGCTGTGACCATACCACTGCACTCCAGCCTGGGTGACAGAGTGAG